GACATATAGACAGAGCCTTATCAGTCGCTGCCCCCCCCCCCCCCCCCCCCACCCCCCCCCCCCTTACCACTACTTCATTATTGCCATTCACTGTTTGCAAGGATCATAGTGTATTATAGTTCCCATAGTTTTAATATATAAGAATAATTTAATGATTACATTTAGGGCTGTCAAACGATTACAAATTGTAATCAGATTAATCACAGTTTAAAAATTAATGAATCATGATTAATCACCATTCGAACTATGTCCAAAATATGCCATTTATTTATGTATAGGCCTATTGTTGTGGGAATGGAAAGATAAATGAAAGAAGGCGGATATATCCATTTAACATACAGTAGCCTATGTAGCCTATGTATGTTTATTATAACATTGTTTTGTGTGTCAAAATGAAAGACAGCCCACACACCTATCAATCATCAAACCGTGGGGTCTTATTTCATTACGTGTTGATTTCTATCAACACGTAATGTTGTATCGATGTATATAGAGATGTACTACCGCAAAAGTATTCTCCGTCGGGACTTCCTGCAACAACACCACGCCGTTATCGGGATTCTGATTGGCCAGAAGACATTATCAAAGATGTTCTATTGAGAAGACGATCACTACGTGACAAAAGTTTTCAAAACCGTTTCTAGTCTTCGGTATTTCCAGACAAGTGGCTACTAACTGCTGTCTGTGCAATTTACTCCGCGCGAGTTGGCGGACTTTATTTTGCTTACTTTGTAACATCATTTTTCATGGTGGGGCTAAGCCATTTCTTCGTATGGCTGTAGCCTACCCCAGCGCTGCCACTGGTGGGATGTATGGGGCGGGCCATTCTGCACGAATGCGTTAAATGCGTTAAATATTTTAACGGAATTCATTCAAAAAATGTATTACCGCCGTTAACGCGATAATTTTGCAGTAGGGCATGGCTCTTTTCGTGGCATCTGCAGGCAGTGGCAAGTACTTCCGGCATCTGCCACATAGGCCACTACTCCGTGGCATCTGTGGCAAGTACTTCAGGCATATGCCACAGATGCCACAACTTGCCGAGGCATCTGCCGCTGCTCAACGGGAGTTGCCACAAGATGCCAGAGTAAGGGAAGGTTTACGGTAGCTGCCACTCGCTTTCCGTGGCAAATGCTGCTATTTAAACCCGTATTTATCGTGTAAAATGTCGCTGTTTAGGCATGACTTTATCGAACTGATCTGTACACAGGACTGATGTGCGATCTCTATTTTTCAAAAAGATTATACATTATCATTTCTATTCAATTTTACTTGGAGCATGGTTGGCTAAAATAAACAAACGTGCTATTTATGATGAAATATTGGCGAGTGAGGGTTGCAACGACCAATTGTCGCTTCTTGAGGGGAGTTTCCACTCCTTGCTACGATAAACCAGGTGTATTATTACGAGTAAAGACAAATAATTAACAAATAAATATCTGTATTGACACAGCAACGTGTACACTGGTCTTATTAGACTTGGCTACAGACTTAGGGCAGCTGTAACTGATTGCAGTTGCCACTGCTAGTGAGATGCTAAGGTTTACTTTATAAATTAGGCAAAGGACTTATATTTGCCCCATGCCTTCAGCAGCAGCAGGCCATTCACTTTGATTTGATCCAGTTATGAAATGTCATCATTTCGACAATAAATAAATGCTACATAAACGTTATCTTGCACGTTTTATCGAACCATCTCCGTTTCTAACTTTCAATATATGTAGAGATCTCTCTCTCATCTGCGTGCGGGGGCGGGTAACGCCGTTACATGTATTCCGTTACAACCCAACCCTGTGTACAGATCATCAGTCCTGTGTACAGATCAGTTCGATAAAGTCATGCCTAAACAGCGACATTTTACACGATAAATACGGGTTTAAATAGCACACACATCTTGTGGCAACTCCCGTTGAGCAGCGGCAGATGCCTCGGCAAGTTGTGGCATCTGTCGGAAGTACAGCCACAGATGCCACAGAGTATTGGCCTCTGTGGCAGATGCCGGAAGTACTTGCCACTGCCTGCAGATGCCACGAAATGCGCTTGCTGTCTCTCTAATTTTGACAACATTAATTACATTACAATAATGCAACAATCACTGTCATAAAGCTGGTTATAAGTCACTATGATAGGTCATGCATTGCTTTAATTAAAATAACTAAATTATAATCATTATAAAGCAGTATAACATTCAAATGATCTGTAACAGAGTAACAGTAATGACCTCTATGGGAGTTATGGTACAGCATGATACAATTGTCATGAAGTCACACACAATCAATAAAGTATTATGAGTCTTGAACTCATTAATCCTTTTTAAATGTCTTATGATAATAAAAAGCATTAGTAATATTTACTAATGCCTATAATCTTGATGCATCAGGTACCTCTATATTACTGTCCACATCTGTGTGTGTGATTGACATGCTGGCTGTCCAATCAGTGATGAGTCTCCCAGCCGCAGACAGCTGTCTGTCTGAGGAGAGGCAGGATGGTGATGAAGCTTTTGTTATGTGTGACTGCATCAGAAAGTGAGAAGGTTCCGTTTGATCTGTGTTGACCTGTTGACAATGACACATTTGCTGAAAGGCCCCGGGGCCCCTTCAGCCCCCACACAACAGGTAACCTGTGAGAACAATGAGGATTATATTGTTATCAAATCAATCATTTACAGCAAAACTGCATCAATGCAATATGTCAGACTATGACCCTCATCCCAAAGACACTATAAAACCCTCCTCATATTCCAGACTGTGAACCATGCACACTCCTCAGCTTGTTTTTGTTACAGTAGCATGTAAATTGCACATGGTTTCAAATTAAACCTTTAAAATAAAATAGAAAAAACAATTGCTCATGAGACCCCGAAAGAAAAAGGTTTCAAATGTCCTTTTTTTTTTTTTAGATCACACTAGTCTTTAGGGTGTTATTAACATAATGACTAACAAAAATAAAAATATATTTTTGTTTTATGTGTGTCCTCTGTAGAGTACATCGGGTTTTAGTTATGTGAAGCATAGTATACAAACAACATTAACATACAAGTACATTTAGACAACATTAGAGCACAACAACTCAATGCAACAAATACTGAGCCCTCATTTGTAGTACTCCATCCTTTTCTGAAATGCAGAGATACATCTGACACTTGAGGCACTTGATGTATGTTTTCCCCGTGCATCCGTCTGCCATGAACCCTACAGAAACCTACGTGTTAGTTTTAAAGTCCCATAGTGGACTCCATTTGTGTTGTGTAAAATTGGGGTAAATACAAAATAAGCAAATCCCCATGTCCTCCTCAGAGGACATTCATAAAAACATTTAGTTTTAGGTCAAATAATTATTACACTGCTCTGAAACTCACTACACTAACTCCTAAGATGTAACCTTACTATAATTAATAAAAATATTGAACTCACAAGACTGGTAATTACAAAATTACAAACTTACCATTTATCTTTCTATAAATAGTGCTTGTGTTGATGGACGCCATTTTGAAATACAATGAGATTATCTTTTTCAAAGCCACACCCCCACATATGTCACATGTCTGAAAAGCCCAGGATGTCCTCTGTGGAGTGCAATTGGACTTAATGCTGTGGCATGTATAACCTCAATGGACCAAAACCAAATGTCCTCCACAGAGGACCATGAATGGGTGGGTCTCTGGAGGATAAATACATCAACAGCAGAAACATTACCTGTAATTAATAGGCAATGTAAATGAGTGAATATGCACTATTAGACCAAAATGGTGCACTTGTCTGCAGAATTAAACTTCCCCTTTTAAACATATTTTGTTTTTCAGAGACATTTTTTTTAAACTTTAGTATTTGCTGCTATACTCTTGCCCGTTTAAAATCTGATTTACTCCACATATTTTATTTCTTTTTTGGTGTATTGCTTATAATTTATTCTTTAACATATTTATATGTTCTCACTTTTTACAATTTCATTCTTTTGACTATGTTAATGCACCAGTATGCACTTAAGCAAATTAAAAGAGATGTTATACTTTACTGATCCCAAATTGGGAAATTGTTCGTAGCTTTTCTCATGAATTGAAAATAAGAATAAACAAACAGTAAATGCATTATTAACAATAGAAGGATTAGCTTTAGTGCGCACCATCAACGTAGAGCAACTACATTTTAATGAACTTACCTGCTATTAAAGAAACATGATATGCAGTATAAAGTGTGAGGTATGCGTAAAGTAGACATACACATTTAAATTAACTTCAAACTTTTTAAATATTTGTATATACAACTTAGTTCCTTTTGTTGTAGCAGTATTATCCAACAAAGCAAATTCCTTGGCAATAAATGGGTCACCCAGGATGTGATTGGACTGTAAAAAGGGGGACAATGCCCCTTCAGCCACTGAGTGTAAATACATGAATATTGCCTTTATTATCTCTAGTGTCTCCAAACCTCATCACACAATCAAGTTCTAACCCCAGGCCTCAGACTTCAAACCACACAAAGACCCAGACTCAGTGGAGCCAGGCCGAAGGGTGGGTGGGGGTCCCTGCTGTAAGTGTAAACTCACCAATGAACAGCTTCATTTGGGACTAATTGTTGACCATGATCTCCCGTTAGCTGGCGTTTGAAATGCAGATATTGCGGCAAACAAGGCGCATTGAGGAGAGCATTTGGTCAGCCTTTGTTGACAGGCACAGGGGGGGGGGGGGGGGGCGGGGATACCGCAATGTCTGTATGGGACGCGCAAGGACAATTTAATGTGGACTCTAGTGATTTAATTGATAATGATTTGTTTGACTGGGCTTTGATATACTGAGATCCTTACAATGAGCTGTGATAGCTTTAATGGACAACTCCCATTTGTTATCAGATCCCTTTCTTCCAACCTCCTCCTACTTTAAGATGAAATGCATGATCTATTCATGGGGAACTAATCCTGCAATAAAGATAATATCATCAGCTTTATCTCCACATTTGTTCTTGTTATGTATGCAACGCACAGAAAGTCAGAGCCAGGGATTAGAAGATACACTTGTTTTAATTCAATGATAAATATACTTTTTATGTAAATTATATACAACTTTGATATAACGTAATAATAATAAAAATCACACATCAAATACTCTGGATTGCACGGGATTGTAAGTGTTTCGATTGGAAAAGTCTGGTTGTAAGTTCTTCAGTAGTAATGAGGGTTGTGGATCATGACGTGAGGAGGGCGCATCTGCTGCTGGAGGACCAGCTGCGGGACCGTGAGTGGGTAGAAGGCCGGGCCGGTGGCCGGGAAGTGGGGTCGCTGTCCGGCCATGCTGTGGTACTGAACCGGGGGCAGACGCTGGAACATCACCGGGGAGATTTGAGGAGCCAGGTAGTCCTGCACCTCACGCTTGAGCTTCATTCTCCTGTTCTGAAACCAGGTTCGTACCTAAGAGAAGGCAATGATAAAGTTAGTCTCTAAACAAAAAACAATAAAGGAAACAAATAAGGAACATGGCATTCTTTTGGTGTTATTGTTGGTTTCTCTTCTTACCTGAGTTTCTGTGAGGTTGAGCTTCTGTGATGTTTTCACCCTCTCTCCAGCATCAAGGTATTTGTGCTGGTTGAAGATTTTCTCCAGTTTGTTGATCTGCTCGGGGGTGAATTTGGTGCGCACTCGGCGCTGCGCTGCGTCTTTCTCCGCATCGCTGCCATCATCCACAGAGAGACACTCAGAGGAAGCCGCCTCGCTCTCATACCCGGAGGAATACCCGCTGGTTTCTGAAACTGAAGGAAGGAACAGCTGGTTATACACCATTCTAGTGCGCAAAGCTTGACATAGGCCTATTTTTCTTTGAAATCAAATAAATGCAGGCTGCCATGAGTAGTAAACTTACTTGGTGAGGTGCAACTTGTTGTATGGAAAGGTGAGCACAGGCTGGCGTCCTGCCCGCTGCTCTCTGATTCAACGGGCTTAGTGGCCCTGGGTTTTGGCTGCAGGTAACTCTTGCCAAAAGTCGGCGGACAGGGCTGTACCATGCAGGGGATGTGAGGTCTGCAGGCCGGGGCAGCATCCTCCGTCACCGCGGTGTGTTCGTGGCTCTGGGCCAGCCAGTCCACTGAAAAGTATTTCACCATGTTGCTGCTCAGTGACCTGTTAATCCACCGAATGTCAAAGGGACAGTGTGATGCCAGCTCCTGGCCAGAGGCAGCTTTTATAGGGCCCCGGCCCTCGCCAACATTTGCATATGTAGAGGCCCTTGTTAACGCCTGATCGATGCCGATGATTAAGGCTTAATGGCTCGTTATTGAAGTCTTTACATATCCTGTGAGTGTGAAGACCTGGCGCCGCCGAGTCTGTGAGAACCCTCCTGAGCTCATACATTTGTCCGCCGCGACTGAAACCAGCGGCGGGAGGAACAGCTGGCTCCTGCAGAGGTGGAGACGCGCTTTCATGTTCCTGCTGCTGCATACAGTAGCCCGGGAGAGGTGTCAAAGCCATAGGCCTGGCTCAGTTACTGCTAACATTTGAAACACTACAACCGCATTTCTTCCTCACTGATCTAGTGTCCCCTATGCGCAACATTTGAGAAAGAAATGCATCTTAGAAATATTAGATGGAAAGTGTATACATCTAATGGGAACAATCCCTTATGTTATCTGAGACCAAGAAGAGTTCAGTCAATAGTTTTGAACATCTCTTTTAAAGCCAATATCTGAGCAGTAAGTCTCCAAATAGTGTCCAGTTGTAAAACATAACAATCATTGTAATAACATTAAAGGTCCCATGTCATGGCCATTTATACTGATCATAATTCCATTGTTGAGGTCTACTAAAATAGATTTAAATTGTGCAATTTTCCAAACTCACATTGGTTTCTCATACAGCATCTCTGTAAAGTAGCCTATGTGTATTCACTCTCTGTCCTAAACGGCTTGTTGGAGCTCCTGCCCCCCCCCTCCCTGTGCTCTGAGTGGTCAGCTCACCCACTCAGCGGAACATCAGTGATTTTGTGTTACAATATGCACTTTCACACTGGAGTACTTTTCCCAGTATAGTTCCAATTTAGTTCCGAAAATGTGCGTTCACACCAGTGTTAATTTCGTCGAACTATGACGAAAAATGTTCGTCAACGACCTTTTCTACATGACTAAGACGAGACGATGACGAGCTAAAACTAGATTATTGATAAAGAAAACTATGGTGAAATGTATTTAGTTTTCGTTGACGAGACGAGACTGAGGTGTTAATGGTGGACTATCAGACATTCAAAATGCAGCATATGTTCCCCCAAGTGTCCGTCTTGTCTGTCAAAATGCATCTTACGTTTCTAACTTGCAATATCATTATTTCCGCTCACCACTCCAGAAGAGCGCTCTCCCTGTGTCTCTCTCTCTGTGTGTGTGTGTGTGTGTGTGTGTGTGTGTGTGTGTGTGTGTGTGTGTGTGTGTGTGTGTGTGTGTGAATAGACCTACAGCCAATCAGCGTTCAGAAGTATACAAGGCTCAATGTGGAAAAAGCTCATTTGCCATTAGTGTTATGGCGTAAACGCGTTGACACGAGTAGAGTAGTCTGTCCAACAGCCGGCCAAAAGGCGTCATATTCAATCGGAGAAATGCACAATTCGATTCCTTAACTCGTAGCTCTGTTGCGCCAATTAGCCTACGAGTAACGTTATCACATCAGGTGCGCAGAGGTGGGAGAAGTAGCCTACTCAGATCTAAGTAAAAAAACACACCATAGTTACTCTGTTACAGTAAAAGTCCTGCATTCAAAATGTTCCTCAAGTAAAAGTAGAAAATTATTCTCGTCAAAATATAGTGAAAGTAGCGACAGTAAAAGTAGTCATTGTGCAGATTGGTCCATTTCAGAATAATATATATGATATGTTTTATAATGATTGATCATTAAAGTGTTCTCAAAGCTGGTAAAGGTGCAGCTAGTTTGAAGGACTTTGTATACTGCAGGGTAGCTGGTGGATTTACTCCAGGTGGAACTAAAGTCTGATTCAACACTTGATTATATTTCACATCATTCATCCACATCTGTGAAGTAACTAAAGGTATTAAATACATGTAGTGGAGTAAAAGTACATCATTTACATCTGAACTGTAGTGGAGTAGAAGTAGGCCTACTAAGTAGCAAAACATTTAAATGTAAAGTACAAGTATCTCAACATTTTACTCAAGTACAGTACAATATAATAACATAATTAATTATACATATTTTATTTATTTATTTCACATGTAAATAAAGCAATGTTAATTCGGTTAACAATTTGTTTAGTTTTTCCCTTTAAAAAATAACAAAAAGTACATACAAGAATAGCGTTAAAGCACCGGATCGATAAGCAGTTTCGATAAGAGTAGTAGTACCGTTAAAAACCTTAGCGATATACCCATCCCTATTACACAAGTAAAGTGTTAAGAGAATGAAATGTTGCTTTACGAATTTCAACACTTGATGCTGTCACATTGATTCCAATTTCAGATACCTGTATTTTCCCAACTGAATTAGTTTAAAGAGAGAAAACATTTTGACTAAAAGTTGACTAAAATGTAATTTTTCATCGACTAAAAGTTGACTAAAACATTTTGAGTTTTCGTCGACTAAAACTAGACTAAAACTACGAAGGATAGGAATGACTAAAATGTGACTAAAACTAATAACCATTTTCGTCTAAAGACTAAATCAAAAACAACTGCCAAAATTAACACTGGTTCACACCAAAAAAATCCGGAACTAGAACTCAGTTCATGAGAACCTTTTCACCCCCCTGCTAGAGAGCAGGGACTGAAAAGGGGGTGAAAAGGTTCTGATTTCTGATTGGCTGGGCGGATTGCAAACCACGGCCCGTAAAACTCCCATAAAGTTTTGTGAAGCCGCCATTTTATTATCCTCGCATTAGCATTATTAGCATTAGCCCATCAGCGCACCAACGGAGACAGACTAATTTATGGAAACACAAAAGAAAACATGGGAGCGGTGGAGTGATGAGGAGGTGTCGGCATTCTGGCGATTTACTCTGATTTACGGCCGGAAGTCCCCGGAGTTGGGTGTCACTGTCACTACCCGATCTGCAGCTCTGCCCGATCTGCAGTGCGCATGTGCGAGATGGTCCGCCATATTGGACAACGCCGGGACGGCAACCCAAGTAGGACAACATTGACACAGTGGCTTTTGGCAAAGCTCAAAAGGAAAACTCGAGAGAGATGAGTTATTGTTATTACAACGTGACTTCACTATTATTATTTAACTCTTTTTATTGGGTTCTTTTATTTGGGGTTAAGTACATTGTCAGAATAAGTGAGAAATGGATGTAACTTCTGGTAGACAGCCATATGCCATACATGTTTGCACACATTCACAGTAAATATGTATTCAGTATGATAGCTGTCTAACAGAAGTTAAATCCATTTATCACTTATTCTGACAATGTACTTAACCCCAAATAAAAGAACCCCATAAAAAGAGTTGTTAAATAATAGTGAAGTCACGTTGTAATAACAATAACTCATCTCTCTCTCTCTCTCTCGTTTTATGTTGAGCTTTGCCAAAAGCCACTGTGTCAATGTTGTCCTACTTGGGTTGCCGTCCGGAGTTGTCCAATATGGCGGACCATCTCGCACATGCGCACTGCAGATCGGGCAGAGCTGCAGATCGGGTAGTGACATTTGTCGACTGGCTTCAGTAGAAGCTGCTGGGACTCCCAGCAGCTTCTACTGAAGCCAGTCCCCAACTCCGGGGACTTCCGGCCGGGGACTCCGGGTGGCAGTATACGCCATGAAGTGGTTTGCGGCCTGCCAGTAAACCCAAAGCAGAAGAAGAAGAAGTGACGTCAGCGGCTTCATTTGACTAATCCTCCCTCAGGGACTTATTCCGGTGTGAACGCGATCTGCTCTTTAGAGTTCTGATGAACTAAGTTCTGATGAACTAAGTTCTGATGAACTAAGTAGGGCAAAGTACTTGGTGTGAAAGCGCCTAATGGCGTTAGCAACCAGACAATGACACCAGTAAGGACAAACAGATGAGAATGCTGCGTGACGTGTTGGCGGGATGTTGCGCCGCTCGGCATAGTTCCACTTTAAGTATAGGATAACATTTGGAGGTACTTGTACTCCAGTGGACAGTGGCGGCTGGTGGATAATATTTTTGGTGGGGCTATGGAAATAGGGACCAAACCATACTATGACGGTCCGGACATAAGACATTTTTGAGAAATGATCTGGTGATGTTAGAGGGGGGGGACAAATTGAGGCTTAAAAATATGAGATAATCCATAATCTTCAGTGTGGTTAGCTATGAATCTTCCAAAACTGTGCAACAGTACAGTAGGCCCACACAAACTGCAGAACACTGGTGCTTTGGGAACACTCAAATGATTTAATTCCCATTTAAAATCAGCAGACTAAATACGAATAGTGTGTGTGTGTGTGTGTGTGTGTGTGTGTGTGTGTGTGTGTGTGTGTGTGTGTGTGTGTGTGTGTGTGTGTGTGTGTGTGTGTGTGTGTGTGTGTGTGTGTGTGTGTGTGTGTGTGTGTGTGTGTGTGTGTGTGTGTGTGTTACTTGTCAACCCTCCCGATTTTCGCGGGAGACTCCGTTTTGGATGCGCATGGTGTTGCCAATACTTCTGTACTTTTTATTAAATAAGGGACTTTTAAAGGTGGGGTATAGAGAAACCGGCTCGACATACACTTTTTGTTATATTCCATGGAATGCTCTTAACATCCCGATAGCAATGAATATCTGAAGTGCTTTGACAACAAATCCATTAAAAAATGTAATCTGTGGAAGCCGTAGCGCTGTAAAAAGCACAACCAATCATCTGAGCCGGCTAAAGTAACTGGATGGCCTACCTGCCTGTCAGCCTTCCATCTGTGCACAAATGTATCTCGTGCCCTCATTGGTCATGTGCGCGTTTGTGTGTGTTGGAGGAGGGGCTCTGTAAGGAAGTGGCAGATTTGTTCCGGCTGTGTATTTTCAAATTCTAGCTCATTCGAGCTGGTTTCTCCAAAATGACTATACCCCACCTTTAATTGAGTATTGTAAAAGAGTGAAATCACGCAATGACTTATTGAAGAAAACAAAAGACATGGACACTGCAATTTGACTTTTGATTATTGCCACTTGTGTTAATGTTTTTATCATGGCTTGAAAGCGTTATGTTTAAGCACCTGATAATAGTGATCCAAGTACGTGGGATCTGTGGAGAGTGTGTGCAGCTCTATACTTCTGAGGGGTGTGGGGGGGGGGGGGGGGGGGGCAGTCCTTGGTGGTTGGTATTGACTATTGACATGTCCTCTGATCCCCCGGTGAGTGGTGGCGCCGGCGAACCGAGAGCCAGCGTTTGGCACAGGCGCTTCAAACATTGAAGATCAAAGGTATTACAGGAGCAACACAATTACTGCTGATTGTGCGAGCTGTTCACATGTATATATGCTAAACAAGCCACGAGGAAGCTGCTGGATGAGTGAGGGGGGGGGGGTGCAAACAAGCCCAGAGGGATTTGGTAATCCTTAAATTGACTGCATCAAACACCAAAGGCTGCAGATATAAGGAATTAATTAGGTAGGCTACATAGTAAAAGTAAAAAGCACAGTGCTGCTATTCCTACGATGGCAGTGACAGTATAGGGGAGGTCCGGGTTAAAGTAACGTGGGACGAAAGTAACGAGGAGATTTCCTCCGAGAATTTCTCACGCATAACGTGGATGAGATAAATGACGTAACGTGCTCTCAATTGCATTTTACCAAAGTCAGATTTTATTTTTGGGTCTGCACACCAAAATAATGTAATAATTTATTTACGATTAAACCCATCCTGAAAAAAAGTAATGCGAGGCTAACAATATTATTATAACTAGGCCTAGCCTACATACACTTTTTGACATGCCAACATTATATTGTCAGATTTAAATAGTTTTAATATACAAACATACCATAACTAATTCTAACATATAACATTTGGTCACTTCCACGTCCTCCCTGTGTTCATTTCGTACTTTATGAGGGGTCAACCGGCTTCCATTCAAACTCAATATTATTTCTATATTCGTGAGATCATCACAATAATACAAATGGAAATTTAAATCATGGATTATAATTAATTCATCTTTAATCACCTCATACATTGCAATACAGTAATTTAACTTGTATAATAAGCAGTGGGCAGCTACTATAGGAGTCTGATGCATTGCTCAAGGGAATGTGGGTGGTAGCCTATGCAGGAGGTGAACTCTCAACGCGACTTAAACACTCAGTTGGTCCATTCTGCGACTGAACCGGCGACCCTCTGCTTCAAGACCAATAATCAGTCCCCAGAGAGTAAAAACATCTGAAACTTTCATCGATTAGGTCTCAATAAACCCAGACACCTTCTACCAGACAGAGTCGGACCTGTTTTTGTCCCGCCCCCACTGAGAGATCCCCCCATGCAGCAGCTCGGTGACAATGGCACTACACTGATCGTTTAGTTATGACAGAGCAGATAAGGGCCGGCCCGCTGGTCTCTTTATCGGGGATCTGTGTCATGTGCTCCGGCCTCGAGCTCTTCATCTGCGGGCTTTGAAGATGCGCCCCGATGCTTCAGATAATAACAGCGTCACACTGTGCCCATTTCCTCCGCTCTGCTCTGTCTGTCCAGGAGAGACTGAGGGACTGTATTCTAATTCCTGCTGCCCAAGAGCACTGGGTGAAGGCAATTATCCAACACATTATCCCATATGTTTTGTGCTGTTTGCAAGCAGGCTTGGGAATGTTTACAGTAGGCTACATATTACCATTGTAAATATGAAACGTTTTCTGAAATCGTATTTCAGATTTAATTATTTTTACTACCTTGGATGTGTGCATTTTTATTTTTTATTTTATTAATGTTTGCTTGCCTCTTTATTAAACATGTTCCTCTATTAATATCATGTGTCTTTGGAATCCCCAATGCTTTTTATAAGTTTGATTTACCTCTTGTACTTTTATCAGTAGTTGTATTAGTTTATTTGGTTATGTAGAATAACCCCTGTCTGCTTTAAATATCAAATAGTGGATTCTAATTTACAATGCACATGAAATTAACATTTTGGGAGGAACACATTTTACGTATCTTGTGTCCTTTGAAAAAAAGTGATCTGTTATGGTGCATCTTGAATGGCATGGTTAGAGCTTTTTTATATCTAAAATCGAATAGCTTTCAGATCAATTGAGAAAAAAAGTACAGTATTTTCTTCGCCTTGTGAAACAGATGTATAAATAAGCATGAACTCAAAATCTTCAAGTAAAGTGCATGTAGTCGTATCATCATTTGAGTATGTGCGCAGGTGCAATACTGCTGCAGGTCAAATTGATTATGTTCATACTGTTGCATTTCTTCTGTTGCCTTTGCCAGTAGGCAGAAACAGAGGTGTGGACTCACTGTAGTTCAGACTTTTGACTTGAAGTCCAAAGATTACATGTAACAGGATTAATCAGGATACACATTTTGTTAACTGCACGTACAGTATTCCCCCTACAGTAACACACACAAAAAAGGAAATCAGATTACTGGTACATTTTTAAAATGTGAGGATTACTAGCCGGATTACAATGTTAAAACTAAAAAGAGCATATTGTTTGTTGTAAAAGGATCAGATGTTCTCTCTTCTCTGTAAACGGTGCTGTTCATAGGCTAATACTTTAAGCGTGAATCTATAAGGCATGCTTTCCTATTAATAAAATCATTTCTCATTCTAAAATGACTTGGTTTCTTCTTTTCTAAGGTTACATTGTTCTGTCTTACATAATACACTTAGATTAGGTTACTGATTACATTTTCTTTTTTACAGGAAACTAGTTATTGTAACAGAATAATTGTTTTAAAGTAACCCACCCTGCTCATCGCCCAAATATCAAAGTCATTAAAAAAGTTTGCCCCAAACCAATGAATCTCCTTTAATTTCCCTAATTATCGATAGCCATCCCAAGCAAGTCAACAAGGAACTTCCCCGATACGACCAATCAACGGCATCCAAACGTGTTACAAGAGCAAACCTTGAAGAACTCATGATGCATTACTGAGAGACATCCACAGATACTTTGCAGTGGTGAAAAGACAAATAAAGACAGGATTAAAAACATACAGGTTGAAATTGGTGAAGAGAGCATCAGGACTTTTTTCTCAAAAACTTGGGTTTTCGTACTTGAGTGCAATTACAAAATGTGTCTTGTAGGCAGCACTACTCCTCCTATATCACGAAGAAGCCTGTTTTCAGTTATGTTATTGGAGTTTTAAAAAAAAAAGTTTGCTCCAAGGAGGTTTCATAAATTGAACGCAATATCACAGGAACAGTATGACAAAGCAGTGTACATGTATTTGTCTATTTCGAAAACAAACAAAGATTGTCCTTAAACGGGCCCTGTTCTGCTTCTTGGAGTTTTCCCTTTCATGTAGTGTGTTATAGGTTTGTGTGCATGGCAACGGTCTGCAAAGGATAAAGTCCCTGTGACAGAGGGTAAAAAGAGGTGCTGCAGCACAGGCATAACAATAAAGAGCTTTTCGAACATTAAAACATGGAGACATTTCACAGAGGCACTAAGTAATAAAGGTATTAACCTGAAATGAGCTAAATAGGGCACCTTTACAAATCATTTGCATCTAATGTGCAAGGCATAGGAGAGGCATTGAGAAAGCAAAGCCAAAAGGCAAAATAAAACTTAATGTTAACAAGGGTCCTTGTCATCAGATGTTGTATTCTGGCTTAAAATATGATGTGACTATCTCACCAAAACAAATCCTCCAGGCATAATTTAGAGGAAGAAAGGCCAGAAATATCACTATGAAGTCATTACTGCTCTTCTATCATGGATATCGTCTGACAATAATACGCTTTGGCAACAAAGGGAATATCAAATGTCCTTTATTTGGCTAAATTAACACATTGAAAAAGAGAAAGAGAGCAGACTGAACACCATTCCTCCCATTACATTCTGCACATAGGTTTCTCTGTCATGGTGTTCCATACTGTCCAACACATCTGGCTTCTGCCCTTTACGGTGACTTTCAAATGCAAATATTTCACATTGTGCTCAGATTCACTTACCAATATAAATCTTATTTAATAAATGATTTGTAAACAAACTATGCATCATAGGTTAAGCAAAAATAAATGATCAACAAACCGTTCATTACATTTAATACAATATTAAGAGTAGTTTTACAAATAAAATGAATGTGAGCAACATCAAATTGATTTTATTATTAACCCCCCTCCCATTCTGTCCCCTTTATATATGTCTCTGCTGGAAAAACACGTTCCCAGAACTGCTACATATATAAAGTCACATTTAGGAATATGCAACTCAAAGGCACAATTTAAACATAGACAGAGAAGTGGACTTCAGGGTTCTTACGCTCATTACAAACCTGGAAAAGTCATGGAAATTCAAAATGCTAGTTCCAGGTGCTGGAAAAGTTATGGAAAACAATATTTTTCCCAAAGTTTTGGAAAAGTCATGGAAATGTAACTAAAGTTGCATCAAATATAATTTATATTTGATCTAATCTCTGAAATAGTAATACTATAATGATAATAAATACTGTATCATATAGTAATGAAACGTAAAATGGCATTTAACTGTCGAGGTGTTTTGCTGGTGAGAGATTTGAGTTGCTTTAGCGTGTAGAAGCTGCCTACTTGATTTGTTTTAGATAGACACAACATGTTTCAGACCTTATTTTCCTGTTCCATGTTCAAATAAACCATTTTCAGTGGTACCGCTGAGTCATTTTTTTTGGTCATGGAAAATTAGGTAAAGGTCATGGAGAAGTCATGGAAAAGTCATTGAAAATCATTGGTGAAAAAGTGTATGAACCCTGGGACTTGTTTGTCCATCGGTTTAGGAAGTGTCATTTTGAAGTCTTCAGTTTGGCCTTTTGGCTGTTACCATGCTTCTTAAGCAACCATCATGTTCCAATGAACTGGAATAAACTGAAAAGGGTTAAGGTTATCTGATGAAGAAGAAACAAAACACCCAAACCAGACAACACCTGTTACTTAAAAGGTAGCCCCACCCTAAGGCTATATATTTGACTCGTCTCTATTTTACCCTATATTAGATCATACTTTACAAAATGAACATCATGCAGCTAGAAAGCTTGCTAGCCATGAAGACCATCAACCCTCAAGAAAAATGACAACGAGGTAAAAAATATAGAGAGAAGTGGAGTCATATTTTCATAGACTTCTATACAATCAGACTCTTGCCTGCTTTCCATAAGGAACAATGCAGGTGAAAAGCACAAAGGTGAAACGCTGTCAAACACCCAGTCTCAGGGCTGGAAGAGTCAGGGGGTTTTGAATTATTCTCAAGGGACTGTTGATATTTGCACAGCATTTCATAGACATCTATCAAATAGTTGAGACATTTTAGTCTGGACCAAAGTGTCTTCTTGGGTCAGTTATTTCATTTAGTGGTGCATATTCCTAAACAAAGTAACAATTGATATTATAACCATGATACACAGTGAGCCTCCATGTTGGACATGCAGTTTGCAATGCCGCCATGCTCTGTGTATGAAGCCTTTAAACCTAAAAAAAAAAACAGGGTCATTTCACAAATAATGATTAAAAAGGTACAATATATTAGCTGAGAAAGAAAACAAATGCTGGAATCAGAACCAAACACATTTCTAAAGGTTTACATGTGTAGTCTTACAAATAAAGTTGTCTCAACTGATATATTGACTTATTACAAAGCCAAGTTGTATCCTCGATTCTGATTCAATTGGGACAGACCATTGCTAAGGAGAATCAAGGGAGATACTATGTGCACATTGTGCAGTCAAATCATTCCGCAGAAATCATCTGTGGACAACCAACATTCATTTTCTCCATCAGAGAAACACCATGGAACACTTTTTGAATATTCATTTTGATATTTGTGGAGAGCACAACACTTTGGATTCATGATGGCTGAACTGTCCCCAGTGAAGAAAAGAGACCTGGACGTCAGAGAAATCAACAGACAGGAAGTAATCACTAAAGAGAACTTCTCAAAAAACAGACATGGATGATCATTTTTAAATCCAGAAAACCATTTAAAATCAAAATTGCTGGTTAAGACGTTGGTTTATAAAGTATGTTGCTGTGTAATACTTTTTCATGAATGACTGCTCCGCTGCACATTATCCTTTACATACCGTTAAGGTTCTTTTGACAGATAGTGTATATGACAGCAGTTTCTAAGTCCACAAGGTTCTGCTGCCAGGACAACAGAGGCCTCTGAGGGTCGGGGCCCGGGCTTGGGGCCTCAGTCAGGAGGTGTTGACCTGGTGCCTGGCACTGGGCCTGGGGCAGGGCTCATTGGAAGGTGGCCTTCACCCTTCTCAGCGTGTTCTGGATCCTCCGCGCTTGTCGCTCGCTGGACTGCCGGATGTCGGCGTCGTTGTCGGCAGCCAAGAGGTGGAGGTCAGAGGTGGAGAGGCGGGCCATGCGGCTCCGAAGGTAGGCCTGCAGGTCCAGGTCCGGGCTGTAGGGGTACACCGCCTCCTGGAAGGCGTGGACCTGGCTCACAACCTTAGCTATGCTCCTTCAGCCAAGGACGGTGGATGAAGAGGGAATAAAGAACAGAAATGTGAAATGGGATTTTATCTAGGTGCAAATTACACTCAAGTTTCCCTCCTGGCAGCATCATCTGCTTTCTCTGTGACCTGATTTGGAGCCAACCCTTGGTCCACAGGAGCCAGCTGTGTTCCTGCCCCCCCCCCTGCTCGGACCCCCTGACCCCAGCATCTGGCTGCAGCCCATCTCCTCTCAGCATCTGGACCCAAACCACTTTTCCCATCAAACCCCATCCCACGGGCGCCATCTGGTGCAACACTGGCACCCCTACCAACAACCCCAATCCAACAGCTGTGCCATTTCCATCCATCCGCCACTTGTTGTGACCTCAGCATCTGGTCGGCCATATTGGATTGAAGGAGAAGGACACAGGAAAATGTGTCCTCATACAGTGAGCTAGCCGACTTCGAGAGAGATGGATTTTTGGATCGTGGGAAGAGAGCTACCTTTCCAGTTAACTGTTAATATAGTGCATCACTGAGAGGTACTGTATATCAGGATTCATGTGGAGCAGATCATTTCAAACTAAATGTTTTGCATTGCTGTTTGATGAGAGGTTCATTTGTATTCTCTGTGTCAGTATTACAGTTGTATTCTGTAAACACTTCTGTTATCAGCCTAATCAGAGGGACTACAGTGCAAATGAAATGCATGTTAATGTCCTCACAGTGCACGAGAAATTCTGCTGTGTGTAAATGTGTCCATTTATATTATGTTGTAAAGCGACTTTGAGTCCTACAAAAGCGCTATAAATATATAATGTATTCAATAGTATTATATTATATGTATTATATGTCCATATATGTGTTTTCCAATTTAACAGAATGTAGTCAGGCTTACAGTAACAAGATGACTTAATCAGGTTACCAAACTATTCCCTTAAGAGTGACAGTAAAAAAAAGTGTAATCAGATTACTGGTACATTTAAAAAAGAAAAGGGAGATTGCTAGTAGAATTACAATGTTACAATACATCTTAAATTAAAGCTCAATATATTATAGATAGACCTCCTGCCTGAATTTTATTTTTGTTTTTTATTGAGGCTAATTTCAATCTTCTTTATTTTAAATACAGCTCTGGAAAACATTAAGTGACCACTTTTTTAAGTAAATGAATTTTCTTTGATTTAATTGTATAAACCACTGATAACATTTCTCTGTGTAGGAATTCAACAGACACTGGAATGGAATGGCTGCCATACATGTGGGGATTGAGATTAAAAAACAATTTGGGGTGGTCTCTTATTTTTTTCCAGAGCTGTATCTTTGAAAGTAGTTGAACACCTGATTTAGTAGGGCCAATAGCAGATGTGCTCAAGAGGCTGATCCCCCTCACCTGAGCTTGGTCCACTTGTAGGCCCCAGTAGTGAGGGTGAAGGCTCCGATCTCCTGCTGCTGCACATGCATGGCCAGGATGTGCGCTGACGGCAGGGTGGGCCTCCTCCTTGTGTGCTCCTCCCCCATCAGACACAGGTCGTCGCTCTTCAGGAACACCTGAGGACAGAGACATTTATCTGCACAGTTAATATATGGCGATAGATTTATCCCAATATCATTTGTCTGAACAGATCAACAATCCCTGTGTAAGTGTAGGTTCAGCTGAGTCGCTCCGCTCTCTGCCGGCTGCAGTGTGACTGGACGCTTGGTGCAGGGCCGTAGCTAAGTATTTGAGGAGCCTAAGATAATATTTAAAATGATTCCCTTTTAGTGAATCTATTGTTTTCTTCAATGCTTTGAGAAGCTTGTGGACATAGATGAGAGCAGCGTCTCCACTGTCCACTTTCCGGTGAAAACAAGGTATCTGGGCCAAGCGGTAAACAATAGTTTCAGCACGCCTAAAAGCTGCTGTGTTGTATATTGCACATCAAACAACAAGTAAATCGATTTATTGACTTCCTCTACAGAAAAAGGGCAGTAATCGAAACAATGTCATTCAGAAATCCCAGTTTAAGTGTTAGTCTGCAATAGGGGATCGATGTCCTCTATTGATTGAAATTAAACCATTAATCGAAGCCGATCATCGATCTCCAATAACATTGTCTAATAGTTTGCCTGTCCGACCATCATAATTGGGGTTCTTGTAGATAAAAAAAGGCGTCGTATTATAAAATGTTTTTAAAAAAACTGCAGAATCTGTATTGACCGTCAGTCAAATGACAGCAAGTGTTTTCAGCAAAAAAAAAAAGGGGCGTGGCCTTGCGTAGAGGGAAAGTACCCAGATGTGTTGCTCTCATCTATAGTGGCAAACACAAAGTTACACTCTATAGTGAGGGGCCAATATTGTACTATTTACTCCACTACATTTAGTCCTTTAGTTTACGTTCTGATCCTTTGAGCTTTTACCTCTCCTCGCTGCCCTCTCTTCCCAAGCCGAGACAAACGGCCTTGGGAGAGCTTTTTATCTTTCCAGTATGATAAGACAGACCCTTTCTCGGTGCTTGGGCATCAACCACAGCTGTGTCTAGATATGACTATAAAACAATGTTTTACTCAGACAATAACAGGACAGTTTGACTCGCACGGGACAGAACTTGCAATGTCTTGGAGAATATTGTTGATTTTGCCCATAGGAGTGGTTAAAGGGGCCCTGTTCTGCTGATGTTCAGGTGTATATCAGTATGTAGTGCCTCTACTGTGACATGTCTCCATGCTTTAATGTTCAAAAAGCTCTTTATTTTTCTCATACTGCCTGTGCTGCAGCACCTCTTTTCACCCTCTGTCTGAAACCAGACTTTGATTGGTTAGCTGACCGGCTCTGTTGTGATTGGTCAGCCGCTTAGAGATGTAACACTCACGCTTATATTGGCTAGCGCTCCAACATTGTATGTGATAAGAGTTTAAGGGTTGGGACATCTCCAAGCAGTTGACCAATCACAACAGAGCCAGCCAGCTAACCAATCACAGCAGACTGGGCTCTGGTTTCAGACAGAGGGTGAAAAGAGGTGCTGCAGCACAGGCAGTATGAGAACAATAAAGAGCTTTTTGAACATGAAAGCACGGAGACATGTCACAGGAGAGACACAACAAAATAATATGAAAAAATATGAACCTGAAAATGAGCAGAATATATATTCATATCAAACCTGAGTTCTTCCTCCACCACTGGTAGTTTGATGCATCAGGTTCTGTTGGGGCTAACTTTCAGCAGCAGAGCAGCTGTAGGAGGAGCTGTTTTTCTATTGATTTGTTTGCCCTGCAGCCAAGTTTCACAATATGTGACCAGCCCAGCCTTCGGTTACAAACAACATATGTGTGTGCTTGCCGAAACACACCTACACACACACACCTGCACAGCTCGTAGCTCCTCCAGGATCTCACACACCTTGGAAGACAGATGTTTCCAAGCCTGTTGGCAAGAGAGGAGAAAGTTTTATTTCTAAAAGAAACACTTATAAGCTGGATTCAACACAACACATGAGTCAATGAATGTAACCCATGGAAATATCATATATTCTCAACACTGGTGCCTTTTGTGTGTGTACATCACTCCTATTCAGCGTTCCTCCTCGCTGCGCTCACACTTTCTACATCTAATTTGAATGCATTAATGCAAATTTCTCATTTGTGGAACTAATTAAAATCCACCCAATTCTATCACGGCAGAAGAAAAACATTGAGCTGCAGGGCACGTGACTTATTGCAGCATCGCAGAGTTCTGGTGAGGAGGAATTTATGAGAAGCAGCCTTACTGGTAATTGCCTGACAGTCACATTCTCCAGACCTCCGAGGACCTGCATGGCTGTGGCGAAGTTCCTCGACTCGTAGCAGTGTTTTCCTATCCACAGGAACTTGGTGAGTAGAGCCACCTGTGTCTGCGAGAGAGGAGAGCTGCGATAAAACGACTAAACAAGGCAAAGTACAACAGTAGTGTGCCGAAAGACTAACTATCGTAGGACACGAAATGGGACCTAAAAGGGGGGCTCAGAAAATACATTGGGAACAATCAAGTTCAGATTGGTGCAGGGATAACGTATTTTTTGGCTGACCGGGATGTTAGCATTGCAAGGGCTCCCTCTACTGAAAGCAATACAATAAGATCTGTGGCAAACACACATTTATGATACTTATAGCTTTGCTTCAGCAGGATAATTTTAACATATTAAAACTAGGGCCGGGACTCGATTAAAAAAATTAATCTAATTAATTAGATGCTTTGTAATTAATTAATCGAAATTAATCGCATTTTTAATCACATATAAATATTTGACCTAAGAACAGTGAGAAGCAATTTTTTTCACATGGATTTTAGTATACCATTAGGCGCATTCACACCGCAGTACTTTTCCCACAAAGGTTCATGAGAACTTAATTCATGAGAACTCTTTGAACCTGGGGGAGGATTAGGCAAATGAAGCCGCCGACGTCACTTCTTCTTCTTCTGCTTTGGGTTTACTGGCAGGCCGCAAACCACTTCACGGCGTATACTGCCGCCCAAAGTCCCCGGCCGGAAGTCCCCGGAGTTGGGGACTGGCTTCAGTAGAAGTTGCTGGGAGTCCCAGCAGCCTTCCGAGTAAATCGCCAGAACGCCGACACCTCCTCATCTCCACCGCTCCCATGTTTTATTTTGTGTTGCCATAAGTTAGTCTCTCTGCGTTTCTGTGCTGGGCTAATGCTAATAATGCTAATGCGAGGATAATAAAATGGCGGCTTCACAAAACTTTTTGGGAGTTTTACGGGGCGTGGTTTGCAATCCGCCCAGCCAATCAGAAATATAGCTCTTTTCTCACAAGAGAGCCGTACGAAAGTCCCTGCTCTCTAGCAGCTCCCTGCTCTCTAGCAGGGACTTTCGTGGGGGTAAAAAGGTTCTCATGAACTAATTTTAGTACCGGCTCTTTTTGGTGTGAACGCGATAAAAGAGGCTAACGTCCACGCTAGCTGCTATATGTTTTGCATTGAGGTGATACTTGAGGCTTGATGTGCTGCGGTTTTTTGCATAATTTGCACACAACCGTGCTCTTATCGACGCTTCCATCCGTCCGTTTTTTAAAACAACATTTCCCACTGTTGTTCACTGTGGTTGGTTGTTGTCTGAAGTCATGAACGTTAGTTGGTGCTCCAGTATAATCGGTACGCCTGAAACTCATCCAGTGAGAAACGTTCCGCGGTGCAAAAATAAGTGCGATTAAAATGCGTTAATTTTTTTAACGCGTTAATTTTTGTGTAATTAATTAATCTTAATTAACGCGTTAAAGTCCCGGCCCTAATTAAAACCACTTTTATAACGGTTGAAGCTTAATGACAATCAGCAGAAGTAAAAAGCTAAAGTTAGGCTAACTACATCTCTGGGTGTTCTCGAGTAAAGGATGCTCCAGAGCCACTATTTCAAGCATACTACGTCATTGAGTGCCGAAGGACTGTTCCAATGTCCAGCATACTTGGAATTCTACCGAGCCCGGCGTACTTCGTAGCGAGAAATGTTGAGGCTGCACATGTGTAGACTCTGCAGTCTTAAAATCCCCACAATGCTTTGCGCACGGACCAATTTCCCCAAATCTGTGGCGGAAAATGTAAGGCGGGGCCTCTCATATGACGCACACCTGCACACTTGCTCGCCTGTTCCACTCTTCTTTTTCCGAATGCTAGGAAGGATTCTTGCCTCGCTTCTGAAGCAAGACGCTCGGAAGACATGTGCTACCAAGCAAGCGTACTCGACATTGAGAAACACCCTGTGTCACCACCGCTAAGCTAAAAACAGCTAATGTTTAGCGGAGACGTTTAATAGTATCATTTAGTCATTTAGTCTGGTTAGTGTTGGCTCTCTATGACATCACAACATAAAGTATATGCAGTGATAAATCATATGGAAGATATTCTATAAGCATGATGTTATGGGAAATGGGTTTGGAGACAGTTGCTCCATATTAGAAGAAAATACCTTAAAAGTAAATACTAAAATAAAAAGTGGAATAAAAACATTTATATAAACTAAAGAAGTAAAAGTAAAAATGTGCATACCAATATAAAATAAAATTGAAGAAAAATATGGATACAAACATTAAACAAAATTAAAAAAAAAGAGAAAAATAATATTTAAATAAACATCAAATCATAGGAAGGTAACATTTCCAAGATAAATAAAAAATAAGATAGAAGACACATATTTAAACTTAAGTTAATTAAAATGTCCAATAGAAGATAATTACATAAAGAAAATGATACAGTAAAAGACAGTATTTATATAAACACAAGTACAAATCTGCACATGTTACTGCAATATATAACATACAAGAGAATTGTTCCGGGTTTCATAACCATGTGATCAGTTCTTTGTGTATGAACTATTCAACCATGAGACTACAGACACATGTTGAACGTCTGGCTGCTGTCTGTTTTTATTTCCCAGCGACCATCACTTCCCTGCGTTCTCTCTCCTCTCACCTTAGCCGAGTCACAGATGACTATTTCAGCAGAGATCCAGTTAGCCACACTGTCAGCATATGAGAGCAGCTGCTGCAGGAAGCTGTCTGAGGGGGGCTCCTCACACACAGGGGGACCACCGCCCTCTGCTGGGGGACCGTGCTGAGACACATTCCTGCTGGAGAGGGGGGACAGTGATCTGGGAACTGTTTACTAGAAATGATCAATGGTGGAAGAAGATATTTAACTCAAGTAAAAGTAGAAATAGATTCAATTAACTGGCATATAAAACAGAATACTCTCTTTTCTACCACATGTATTTCTTTTGATTTATTTAACAATACGATTTATTTATTTGAAGAGTAAATCCGAGGGTAAATGTTCTATTGTCCAACCCATTAGTAAATGACAATTTAGTTTTTTGCATTATCTTATATATATATATATATTTCTATTCACTTTTTTCCCTTTACCTAAAAAAAATGAAATACTTAGGATACTTTGTCTTATTTTATTTACAAAGTATATAATAAAATGGATGTAAAAGCAAAGAATGATTCCTATACTGTATGACATTGTGTGTTCTGTGTTGCACTTGAGATTTGTTATATAATAAAAAGCTTGGAGGTTGATCGCACTTTTTGTTTGTCACTTTGGATGAAAGGACAAATGAAATATAATGTGTAAGGCTGGAACATTATACTCACTTGTTTGGGGCGGAGACTTTGTCCCGGACTCCTTGAATTCTGGAGTTGAGGAAATGAACTGGATGACATCCCTGGAACATTTCCTACAAAACAAAGTTCAGTTTTGGACCAGGAGGTGATTGTATGCATAAAGGCATGTCTCCCTCTAGTGGTGAAAAGAGGCAACAACAACAACTTAAAGATTGATATGTTCAAGATTTTAAGGCTTTAAATGCACAATAGCTAAAGCATCATTTGGCTATGAAAAGTCCCAGACTTCTCCAATCATGCAACATTCAATATAATTGGGACAAATACAAAATAGTGCAAGAGGAAATATAAATAAAAATACACATAAGAATTCAATAAAACATCTAAATGATATTGAATTACAGCTATATATATTGAAAGTTAAAGTAAATGTAAATTCATGCAAGATGAAAAATAAATAACACATAATAAAAACAGATATAAAATGAAATAGATGAAATAGTGCAAGAAGAAATATACATACAATACTAATAACAGTAATACAAAATAAAATAATAAAAATAAAATAGTGCAAGAATAAATAGAATAGAAATAGAATAACATACAAACAAATACAGTAAAAGTAAAAATAACAATTTAATAGTGAAAGAGTAAATGCAGAAATAAGTAATCTACATGGACAATTAATTGAATGTAAAATGTGATACTGTACAGTGATATTCGAATACTGCTTAATGCAATAATAAATACATACGCAGACTGTATTGTATGTGTTAAAGAAGTAAGGGAGGGGGATGTGGAGCTGTGTACCTGCTGCAGGACGGTGAGCTGCTGGGCGACGTGCTGAGCGCTGCACTCATTCTGGCTGAAGGGGATCCGCTCCTTGCTCTGCAGGCACACGGTGGAGAGGTCATCCGCCAGGGAGCCGTAGCAGGGCATGGGCAGGGCCGTAGCCACGGAGAAGGCCTTGTCTTTAGACATGGCTGCAGAGGGCTCTACCACCCGGGAGAATGTCCACTAAAGAATCAAGAGAGAGATTTGACAAGAGAGGATGCATTGCTCTGAATCACATGAACAGATATGTAGCAAACTATACAAATCTGTCTGACAGGGCAGCAACTAACAATCATTTTAGAGTAATACAATAACCATTTGATCTAGGATCATGTCAGAAAATAGCGACAAATGTCCATTCTTGTTCAAGGTGATGTCTTTGAGGATCTTTCCACACCTTAAGGTTCAAATATAGGTTATTACATCTGTTAAATTGTACTCATTTCATCCAATGAGTATATGCTAATCATGAAAGCATCATGCACCAGTTGGCACTCATGAAATTTAGGTTTGGATCAAACTGAAAATTAAAGATGAAACAGAGAGGAGTAAAATGCCCAAAATGTTTTATTTTGTCATGTAAAAAGTTATTTCTGCCATTTTAATAACACAGGTGTGGAGAGACATTGCAGTCTTTGCCTCATTCATCAGATGTGTCTTTAAATCTTGAATACTTATTCAGCATTGAACGTTTGGTTTGATTAAATACCGTTAAAAAAGAAATCATGGACTTATCCCCCTGCTGCATCACACTGTAATGTGGTTGACCACAATTGAAAACCTCAAAAGACACAGAAGGACAGAGTTATTGTTTGGTGGAATTGATGATAGAGATACTGACCTTTCTTCCAAGATCCTCAGTGGATGAATGCACACACACAGAGTCATCATCTTCCTGGAGGCTGAGGAGGCTTTCACTTCTGTGGCTCCACGTCGTGTAAGCAGGGGTGTGGAGAGCAGCAAGAAGGAACTCACCCCGACTGTCTACAGGAATCACCTGAGGAAAAAGAATACATGTGAAAACGACTTATATTAGGGGTACAATCTAAAATAACTATTTCTGTCTTTATTTAATATAAGTCTTTCAAGCTGTTTACAATATGTAGCGCGGATGTATGGGTTTTTGTTTACCTATTAAGTAGTCTTAAAGTTTTGTTTTTTTAGCTTTTATTCATTTGAAATTTGTATTTCGGGTCCTACATGCATACAAAGCGTAAGGAAATTATAAGGTGCTGTATAACAGAACAGGTAAATATTATAAAACTGTACTTGTTATTATAAAATGTTTATATTGTAAGTTTGATATCATAACCTTCAAGTTGTGGTGATTGACATTATTCACCCACGGATCTATGGGTTGGGGTATTGTTCCGCACGGACATTTGAGTGAGCCTGACTTCCTGTTTCCGCCGGTCTTCGCTTCCCGGCCATGAAGTTGTTTACATGTGTGTTCCGATGCTAAATAAAAGTAGAGCTTGTAACTTTGATACCCCGCCTCCGACTCCCGTCTCTCGGCACCACATTGGTGACCCCGACATAAGTCTTGTTGAAGGATCCGAGACTGAACCGAGCATGGCAAGTAACGCCGTTTTTTTCAAACTGCCGGAGTTTTGGGAGACATCTGCAGCTGCATGGTTCGCTCAGGCGGAGGCTCAGTTCGCCCTCCGCGGAGTGGCTGACGACGCAGCACGCTATTTTCACGTCGTTTCGGCGCTGGGGAGCTCCACTGCGACCCGGACGGTGGGCTTTATTACATCTCCTCCTGCCCAGGATAAATATGCAGCGTTCAAGGCTTTCCTGCTAAAGACTTTCTAGCTGTCACGGTCGGAACGGGCCCGACGCCTGCTCGCTATTCATAGCCTGGGGGACAACAAGCCTTCTGACCACATGGAGATGATGCTCAGCCTGCTGGGTACGGAAGAACCTAATTTTTTGTTCATAGAACTGTTTCTTCGGCACATGCCGCCGCATGTACAGATAGCGCTCGTTAACACGGCTATTACTGAGCCCCGCGCTTTGGCGGAAGAAGCTGACCGGTTCTTCCTGGCAACCCAGCGTTTTGCCCCGGAGGTGCTGGCCCCGACACGCAGCGGCACCTTCCCTGGTACAGGCATGCCACCTAGCAGAAGCTCCGGGGCCGACGTCAGCAACTCCAGCCCTGGCCTGTGCCATTACCATGCACGCTATGGGGCGAAAGCGAAGATGTGCCGTCCTCCCTGCACCTACAAGGTAACGGGAAACGCCAAGGCCTGCGCTCGGTAGTGGCCGCGAGCGTGGGCACATCCAACCGGCTCCTGTTCATCAGGGACACCCTCTCTGGTCGCAGACTCCTTTGTGACACAGGAGCCCAGCGGAGCGTCCTGCCGGCTACCGTGGAGGACGCTGCCGGTGGAGGCCACGGCCCACCTTTAACGTCCGCTAACGACACCCCTATTCGCACCTATGGCACAAAGACAGTGGACCTGTGCTTCGAGGGTCAGCGGTTTAAGTGGGATTTCGTCACGGCTGACATCTCCTTCCTGTGCGCTCACGGACTGCTGGTGGACGTCAAGAACAGCCGCCTGGTGGACGCACTGACGTTTGCCTCGTTCACGTGTACCCGCGGCGAGGCGTCATTCAGCGGGCTCTCCAGCTCACTCTCACAGGGCGACAAGTTCCAGCACCTTCTCAGTGAGTTTCCCGACTTGACGCAGCCCACCTTTTCCGCTGCCACTACCAAACATGGGGTAGAGCACCACATTGACACTGAAGGCCTCCCTGTCTACGCTAGGGCCCGGCGGCTCAACCCTGACATGCTGGCAGTCACCAAGTCAGAGTTCGTCAACATGGAGCGTCTGGGCATCATCCGCCGCTCAGACAGCCCTTGGGCTTCGCCGCTTCACATGGTCCCTAAATCAGCCGGTGGCTGGCGACCGTGTGGTGACTACCGCCGCCTTAACGACACCACTACGCCAGACCGCTACCCGGTCCCTCACATCCAGGACTTCTCTGCACACCTGGCGGGCAAGCTGGTTTTCTCCAAGGTGGATCTGGTGCGGGGCTACCACCAGGTTCCGGTGCACCCCTCGGACGTCCCCAAAACTGCGGTAATTACGCCGTTTGGGCTTTTCAAGTTCCTGCGTATGCCGTTTGGACTTAAGAACGCAGCTCAGTCCTTTCAGCGGCTGATGGATTCAGCGCTCAGAGACATGCCATTCATCTTCGTCTATTTAGACGACATCCTGGTCGCCAGCTCCTCCTCCGAAGAGCACCAGGCACATCTCCGGGTCCTTTTCGCGAGGCTCAACCAACACGGCCTGATTATCAACCCGGCGAAGTGTCAGTTCGGGTTGTCCTCCATCCATTTCCTCGGGCACCTCATCAGCAAGGACGGGGCCGCCCCCCTCCCGTCGAAAGTGGAGGCCGTGTCTGCCTTTCCACGACCGCCTACAGCTCGGGCGCTCCGAGAGTTCCTCGGGATGGTGACGTTTTATCACCGGTTCATCCGCCGGGCGGCCCACACCATGCGCCCGCTGTACGAGGCCCTCAGGGACAAATCCCCCGGCCAGGCCATAGACTGGACGGCTGAAAGGGAGGTCGCTTTCAACGCCACCAAAGCCGCCCTGAGCGAAGCCGCCATGTTGGCTCACCCGTCACACAGGGCCCCCATCGCTATCACTACCGACGCGTCTGACTACGCAGTGGGCGCGGTGCATGAACAATGGGTCGACGGCGCCTGGCAACCGCTCGCCTTTTTCAGTCGCCAGTTGACTCCCAGGGAGCGCAAGTATAGCGCTTTCGACAGAGAACTCCTTGGTCTCTATTTGGCGGTTCGCCACTTCCGTTTCCTGCTGGAAGGCCGGGAGTTTGCGGCGTTCGTGGATCACAAGCCACTGACCTTCTGCATGTCCAAGGTGGCCGAGCCGTGGTCCGCCCGACAGCAACGCCAGCTTTCGTACATCTCTGAGTACACCACGGACATACGACACATCGCTGGCAAGGCTAACGTGGTCGCGGACTGCCTCTCCAGAGCGGTCATCGGAGCTGTGCAGCTGGGCCTCGATTACCTCCGCATGGGCGCTGACCAGGCCTCTGACCACGGGGTCCAGACCCTCAAGGCCTCGGTCACGGGATTACGCCTGGAGGAGGTCACGGTCGGTGACTCTGGCGCAAAGCTGTGGTGTGACGTCTCCACGGGCCAGCCTCGACCGCTGGTCCCTGCGGACTGGCGTCGACCAGTTTTTGAGGCGGTTCACAATCTTTGCCACCCCGGTAGGAAGCCGTCCGTGAAGTTGTTGTCACAGAAGTTCGTGTGGCAGGGGCTTAAGAAGGACGTGAGGTCCTGGGTCGACTCGTGCGTGGCCTGTCAACGGGCCAAAGTCCACCGCCATACTAGGGCCCCTTTTGAACTTTTTGCGGTTCCTGAGAGGAGGTTTGACCATGTCAATGTCGACCTCGTAGGTCCGCTTCCCCCCTCTCACGGTTTCACTTACCTGTTTACGATGGTGGACAGGACGACCCGCTGGCCCGAGGCCGTTCCCCTCGCGTCGACATCAGCTTCCGACGTCGCCCGCGCTTTCATCGGCACGTGGGTGGTGCGATTCGGGACCCCGTCTGACCTCTCCTCTGACCGCGGTTCTCAGTTCACCTCGGAGCTGTGGAACGCTGTTGCTGTGGGTTTGGGGGTCAAGCTGCACCGCACCACTGCATATCACCCCCAGGCTAACGGATTGTGTGAGCGGTTTCACCGGTCCATGAAGGCGTCACTGCGTGCCGGCTTGATAGACGGCAACTGGGTGGATAAACTCCCGTGGGTTATGCTCGGCCTCAGGTGTGCCCCCAAAGAAGACCTGCAGTCCTCGTCGGCGGAGCTCGTCTATGGTCAGACGCTACGGGTCACTGGGGAATTCATTCCCACCGCCACTGTGCCCTGGTCTGCAGCCGGGCAGCGCTCCTCCCTGCTGGAGACCGCCGGGACATTCACGCCCGTCCCCACGTCACAGCACAGCAACCCAGCTTTCCGGGTGTCCCCCGGATTACGGTCGGCCGATTTCGTTTTTATTCGCCACGACGCCCACCGCGGTCCCCTGCGGCCCCCTTACGACGGTCCGTTCAGGGTCAAGAGCCTGGTGGTGGACGTTGGTGGCAGGCCTGAGACTGTGTCCGTTGATCGGATTAAGCCTGCTCACGTGGACATTTCCAGGCCGTTGGAGTTGGCTCTGCCCCCACGTCGGGGCCGCCCTCCCATGGCCCGCCCCCTGTGGGGATGCCCTCGTTGGCGCCCCTGCCCTCGCCTGCGGCCCCGCCCTCCTCGGCCCCTGTGGTCCGTACGCGCCGGGGTCGGGTGGTACTTCCTCCCAGGCACGAGGATTTTGACTATGGGTGAATACTGGGGGGGCTTGTGTGGTGATTGACATTATTCACCCACGGATCTATGGGTTGGGGTATTGTTCCGCACGGACATTTGAGTGAGCCGGACTTCCTGTTTCCGCCGGTCTTCGCTTCCCGGGCATGAAGTTGTTTACATGTGTGTTCCGATGCTAAATAAAAGTAGAGCTTGTAACTTTGATACCCCGCCTCCGACTCCCGTCTCTCGGCACCACAAAGTAAACTTTAATACTTGAAGATTTGTTATGTTTGAAACAAACAATGTAGCTACTCCTGGGAGTTTAAGTGTGGAGCTGATGTGAAAGTTGAGCTGCAAACACAGCGCTAGCCTCGGCTAAGTTGCTAGCTAACACTATCCAGTTCAAACTGTTGAGTTTGAGGCTGTATGCCTAAAAACTATACCAACAATTGTGTACAAATATGGAGATGGTTTTTCGTTCACAACATGTTGAAACATGTTCAGGTGTGTTAGCAGTTACAAGCTGTAATAATAAATCCGCTAACAGCTTTAGCTTGCCATCTTTTGGGATCTCAGTTCGCCGAGTTGATCATTTCTCTGGCGCTGTTGTGTAGTGATGACAGTTTGACACTGAAGCTTCGAACGGAGCTTCAACCCTGGACTTCCTATTTCATAGAAGCAGTGCTACGAAGCTTTCTTCAAATCACGTGACATATGACGTCAGAAGCAGCAACTGCTTCAAATCACGTGACATGTGACGTCCGAACCAGCAACTGCTTCATTTCCTGAATGAATCACTTGACTGGTTCGCGGTCCATTCACGCGATTCAATGCACTGCCTCGTCTCGATTCTGACAGGTGACAGGTTGAAACAGTTTCGAATTTGAGCGCTTCAACACTTTATGACCGCTCTAAACAATGCGCAATGTGTGGGTTGTTGTCGTAGTTTGCGTTGTTGCTGTTGAGTTGTTGTTGGCATTGCATTTGAATTGTAGTATCATTATAGAGCAAGCCAGGAAGAAAGATAGGTCGTTCTGGCTCGGGAAACACTTCGAAATGTGGAGAAGTTGTGAACAAAAAGACAATTATCAGTAATATAAAAACAGTTCAATATTTTAAGGAATAGATAGCCCAGTGGATAGAGCCGGCGGCCCGCATGCGGCGATTTCCTCCGCGCAGCTGGTTCAAAGCCCGGAATGGATGTATTTTAATCATTGCTTTTCAACTTTAATACTTTAATAACTGTTAAAAGGCCCCCTCCTCCCAACATTTTTTCCAGCACTTAGTCTCTTCTCAATAACCCAATACACACAATTATCAATCTTTAATTGCAAATAGAACATGATATTCAGTCTTAGTGTGAGTGTGTGCATCGAATATTTTTCAAGGCAAAGATACGTTAAACCCACTGCAGCCTTGCACTTCGCCAGGAGAGGTCGCTGTAACTGAAGCTTCGAGAAATGAACCTATTTCCGACACAATTGTCCAAGTGGTTCGACGCTTCATTCAAAGCTTCATTTTGCCATCACTACTGTTGTGCCTGCTCAGAGTCTTTCTTTGTATTCCATATATAAGTTATTGGCTGCCAAATACAACCAAAATAAACAAGAACAAACTTTAAGATAGTTTGGCGAACTTGTTAACGGTCAGGGGTGGGCAAACTGTTTTGCCCGGGGGCCACTATGAGTTTTAAAATTTGACAGACGGGCCGGGCCAGTAGCAGATCGGTGAACAAATATTTAGCTGTCAACTCCTTATTATACACTCTGCACTCAATGTCGACTTTTCTTTTCTTTGGTCCACTCATTGTTACAGATGCAGGTTCAAAGGTGAATTATTGCGTCATGACGTAACCGTTTACGTGCCTTCTTATGACCCACACAGCGTTTAACACCGCTCACAACAACATCAATAGAGGACTGCGTTGGGTAGTTTTTAATCATACGAAGCCAGATTAAATTAAATAACTACTTCTCCAACCTGATAACTTTATCCAGAGTGGTTCATTGTTTATTAATGTGATTCAACGGCATTACCGACCGCTGCTCTTCCACCGGAGTTTAGTCTACTGTTAACTCGTGGCAGCGGCCGCTGTAAAGTATTCACTGTCTGACTGTCACACAAGCAGCTGATAAATATCCCCCGTCCCCATCAGTGAATGTGTTTCAGTCTAAATCGATGCTGTTTGGCATCACACGCTGTTATGAAAGTTTCTCTGGCATTCTACAGGTGAAGTTAGCATAGCAACCGAAGCTAATCAGACTATCTTGACTACTTGTTGCTATCATATTGTGGCATAAGCCGTTTTCTGCATATTTTACCGGCGTAGTTTTCGTCATGATTTTACTTGTGATGGCCACATGTAGCCCATGTATTGATTCCATCCGACAGCTGCAATAATACAAAACAACAGGAAAACGTCTGCCGCTTCACAATGGTCAATAACAGTGAACGGATGGTCATTAAAGTAAGGTAAAATAAACAGAATCACACTAAGCCTGGTTAGTGTTGCCTGACTTTATATACGTGTTTTTAATAAGTGTGTGTGGTTGCGTTCTAGTCACTTTGCTCAGCGCTACTGATTGTTACAACTTGTATTCGCCGTACTCGCCATGAACTGTTATTGCTCAGGTTAATCTCGACCTCCTCCAATGTAAGCGTGACGTATTTGGTTCTTAGATCTTGCCGGGTTGCCGACTCCAGCAAAGGTAAATTGTGTCTAGAGTGCGCCATCTAGTGGGATCAACTGAAATGCTGGGTATTGCAGGAAAAAGGCTAAATGAATGCGGTCTTTACTATAATTTGGACAATTTTGTACCAATATTCGGCGGGCCGGATTAAAAAACCCAACGGACCGTATATGGCCCGCGGGCCTTAGTTTGCCCATGCCTGATAAAATCAGCCCAGTAAAAGATGGTGTGGGATTTCTACATATATGTTAGTAGGATGAAAGTCTTATAGCAGCTTTGGTACGTATTGGTATTCAACTTATCGTTACCATTAAATAAACATTGTATTGTGGTGACCACCTTTAATACACTGGGTTACATAATCCACACATGGAACTAGAGTTGGGGGTGTTGTTTCCACACGGACATATATGTGGTTACCTTTATATGTTGTGTGCCCTCCTGGCTCTTTCTCTTGTCGTCCCGGGCTGCGACCCAACAACATCTACATTTCTGCTGCTCATTAAAGCAAGCTTTGTACCTCCATTGCACCGCCTCCGACTCCCTATCTCTCAGCACTACAGTATATACATTCAATTTTCTTTGTTATTAATATTCTTTATTACTGGGTACTTTGAAGTGAAGATTATGCGAGAGGGAGACCAGGGGGTCAGAATTGCATGTATTTATTAAGTATTGGCATTTTAGAAAAGCTGCAAAAAAGTATAACTTTAACCTCAGTGTTAAGGAAGCTTTCGAACGTATCGAGGAGGCTGGATTTAGGGGTGAAGTCCACCTGTCTACAGTCTGTGATCCAGAACTGGAGCAGATCCAAACTGCGATGGAAGATCTTCTCAGCTTCTCCTGACATGTCGGGACCTTGCCTTGAATTGAAAAGAAAAACAGAATGCTCATACTATCAGTGCAAAATCTTTCATTCTGTGAGCTGTTTGGCATTTCATTATACATACTTGACTTATGTTAATTTTTATTTAATAGTATTTTATCTTTTTAGTGGACATTATTAGTTAAACTCCTTGTATTTCTTTAAATATTTCCAATTTTTTTACATTTCTGTGTATTTCCAAGAAGTAAGATAAGTAGGGTTCTTAACCTGTTAAGCCCTGAGCCTGTTTTTCAGGTCTCAGGCTCGAAGATGACATGCCCAGAACAAATTACTATATCTTCACTTCTAAAAGGGGCAAATTAATAATCTTTTTTCTCAAAGCAATGATAAACCTATGAGTTGGATGTAGAAAAGTCAGAATCAATATAGATGTTTTTATTTGAAAGTAAATTCAGATTGAACATGGTAAAAAAATGTAAATTATAGTTTCCGTCCAAAGAAAACCCATTACCAGTGGCGGCCGGCCCACCGCCCACCCTCTTCCCACATGTTTGATTGTCATTAAAAATTAAAAATTATTTTTATTTTTAATGAACAAGCTAAATATTATATAATTGGTATCAGTAAAATGTATAATCTACAATAAAATCTCGTTTAAAATTGTTTTACGATGTCTAAAGTTACTGATAAGTCACATGTTTCCTGCCTGGCCGCAGCGTGCATCATTACCTGATCATTACCCTCTCTCGTCCGGGCGGTAGGAAAGAGCCTTCAGCCAGAGCAGCAGCAGCCAACAAGCTGACTGTTGCTATCTGTATACTATGCTGCCGAAACATAATTTCAGCCAATCAGCGTCGTCAGATCTGATGCTCAAAGGGCGCCGTGTCAGCGCCCTGGCCTGTATGTCTGTGAGTTGTTTGGACTCGTATCCAAGGTGACGCTACAGTAGTTGTCTGCAGGTGGAGACTACAGTGCTAGTGGATCGCCGGAGCTGTAGATTAACATTTACATGCTTATTGTAGTTGTAAGGGCAATGCCTGTAGCGCCATGGAGCATGGGCTGGACCTGTATTTTACAGGAAAGGAGTGAGCAGAGGGTGGAGTTGTCGATTCTTGTTCAGTTTTCATCTTCCTCACCCTCTCAAACTTTGAATTGTGCGCGCTGCTAAAGAGACGCGCTACCATGGAAACCAAACAATGGTGTAGCTGTATTAAAGTCCTAGTGGAAACAGTCGTGAGTAATCTGATTTTGTCAGAAATCGGGAGAAATATGACCCCGGGAAGAAACCGGGGAGAGGGCAATGAAATCGGGAGTCTCCCGCGAAAATCGGGAGGGTTGACAAGTCACACACACACACACACACACACACACACACACACACACACACACACACACACACACACACACACACACACACACACACACACACACACACACACACACACACACACACACACACACACACACACACACACACACACACACACACACACACACACACACACACACACAATATTCGTATTTAGTCTCCTGATTTTAAATGGGAATTAAATAATTTGAGTGTTCCCAAAGCACCAGTGTTCTGCAGTTTGTGTGGGCCTACTGTACTGTTGCACAGTTTTGGAAGATTCATAGCTAACCACACTGAAGATTATGGATTATCTCATATTTTTAAGCCTCAATTTGTCCCCCCTCCTCTAACATCACCAGATAATTTAAGGGGTCATTTCTCAAAAATGTCTTCCGGGGGAGGATCCCCCCGGACCGCCTTAGTATGGTTTGGTCCCTATTTCCATAGCCCCACCAAAAATATTATCCACCAGCCGCCACTGCCCATTACTTATAGTGAAAACCACCCTTGAATGATGGGATAGTAGACTAAAAGCTTTAGGAATCCAAACTATAACATATAATAAGTACCCTGTATCAAGATTGATGCAAAACAAGTGAAACCTGACCTTTTTAGAGAGGTTTAGAAAAAAAACCCACCTCTAGGGTCATTTGGGTGCCATAGCTCTGGAACCCATCGGTCGATTTTGATGATTGACACTACTTTTGAACCGTTAGAGCCAATAGAATAGGAGGGTTCCTAACCCCATCTAAACATTACTATTGGTGAATGAGAGTGATGCACAGCCAGCATGCCCAAAATCGGAAGCTCTCATACATTCTATATGAAAACTCCGTTTATTGACATAAATGTTATGATGGATTATCAGTAATAATTAGGGGTGTAACGGTTCACAAACATTTCGGTTCGGTACGTACCTCGGTTTTTTGGTCACGGTTCGGTTCGGTATGTTTTCGGTACAGCAGAATTTTTTTTCACAAAACAAAACATATATATATATATTTTTATTATTATTATTAAACTGTGAATAATGTATTCACTCAAATAAATACAAAATATAATAAAATAAACATTAAGGTGCAGCATTTTGATGAACTGAAATAATCTGTATTTGAACTTTACTGTACTAGTACTCACAAAACATAAACTATTAGTTTTGGGTTTTTAATTATTATTAAACTGTGAATCTTCACTCAAATAAATACAAAATATAATAAAATAAACATTAAGGTGCAGCATTTCGATGAACTGAAATAATCTGTATTTGAACTTTACTGTACTAGTACTCACAAAACATAAACTATTAGTTTTGGGTTTTTAATTATATTTAAACTGTGAATATTCACTCAAATAAATACAACATATAATAAAATGAACATTAAGGTGCAGCATGTCGATGAACTGAAATAATCTGTATTTGAACTGAACTGTACTAGCACCTAAGCAGCCAGTTTGACATTAGGACTTGCTTGTCATTGTATTTTCATGTTGTTTAAAGAAAAATTAACTTGTCCACATTGCTGCCGAAAGGGCAGATCTGCTGGCACTACCAATGTCTCCTGCTGTGGAGAACACCCTCTCTAGGGACAGAGGTAGCAGATACAGCCAGGTAGCGCTTTGCTAACATGGCAACATAAGGATATTTGGCGTTTGTAATAGCTTTGGCTCGGTCTGAACTTTCTGCGAGTGATGGAGGCTTAAATGCTAGTGGGAGTTGGGTTTGCACTTCAGTCATTTTTTCTTTTGGTACCGGTGATATTCACGTTCGGGTGATGCCTTTTCAAGAGTGTGCAAGTTTGATGTATTGCCAGCCGCGTAACCAATTTTAGTTGAACAATGCCGACAAACAGCTTTGGTTCAGTCCACCTGTCTTTGTCCGTCATCCTTGTGCGTAACTGCGAAACCAAAATGTTCCCAAACCGGAGACTTCAATGATGCTGGAGGATTTTCGAGCTCAACTGTATCTGCGTTCGCCATTTCGACAGTTCCTCAAATTACTGACTACATTTGAACGCATCCCTCTGACCAGCTCTCATAGTATGCCTCTCATCCAATGAAATGACTTGCTCGCTCTATGACGCGTTGAACCCAATGTGAGCAAATTACTCTGAATGCTGCGACGCAGCACCTGAGATTACTTCCAAAAAGTTATTCACGTTCTCAATTTTTTACGTTTAACGTTATATTCGTTCGGTACACTTCGGTACACACCTGTACCGAACCGAAGGGCCCGTACCGAATAATTTCGGTACGGGTACGTGTACCGTTACACCCCTAGTAATAATTTCAAAGTGACACAGAGACATTGGATTAACCTTCAGCAGCGTTTATATGCATTTTAATGCCCTTGAACACAACTTTTGATCAGAAAACAGCAAAGGTAAAACGTATTTGCCGTAGTTGTTAGTTGTCTTTCCTGGCTTTCGCTGCCGTGAGTTCTTGTCACACAGTGATGATACTAATACCATTGGAATCTGTGGAATATCAGCTTTCATATGATATGAAGTGCGCAGGGGCATCAGGCTTAACAGGTTAAGAAGAGAAATAGCAAATCTAATTCAACATCCTATGTTAACATAAATATTTTTTCTATTTAAACTTTTATACAACATTTTATTTTAACTAATATGTTTATATCCATATTTTCATTTTCTATGACCTTTTTATTGCACATTCCTTCATTAATTTATTTTATTCTATTTATTTTATATATCTTAATTATCTTAAGTTATTTCATTCAAAACAGTCACAAAACCCAATTTACCCCACGATAAATAAAGTATTCTGATGACATTTTAAGATTTACAGGAAAAGCTTTAGTGGAGATTGCTGGATATACTGTACCTTGCAGCAGCGATGAATTTATCCATAATGAACTGCAGTAACTGCTCAGGAGTGCAGAGGAAACGATAGGTATACAGGAACTGCTGGATGTAGCCCTCCAAAGCTGCATTTCTGCGATGAAAATGAGAATATCAAATCAAGTTTTATTTAGCACATTTATAAACGATTTTTGGTCGAGCCAAAGTGCTGTACATATAATAAAAATAGCCTACAGTAGAGACACTTTACAGCAAATACAACAGCACAAATTGTTCAGAATATCAGTGTGAGAAAAACGACACCCTCTATCCTTAGACCCTCACATCGTACAAGGAAAAACTTCCGGAAAAAACCCACAGTTTAAGGGGAAAAAATGGGAGAAACCTCAGGGAGAGCAACAGAGGAGGGATCCCTCTCCCAGGACGGACAGACGTGCAATAGATGCCGTGTGTAAATCGAAGAGATAATACATTTTACAGCATATAGATAATATGCGGCCTCCGGAAGAGGCGAGACCGGAACAACCGGTCTCAAGTCAGTGACAGGGATCAAGGCCGGGGGGCGCCCCCGTCGCGGAGGTCGTGCCAGCACCACCGGCTGAGCCAAATCCAAATGGGCCGCCTTCACCCGGTCCACAGAAACGCGCTCGGCCTTACCACCCAGGTCGACCACAAGGTGTTTGTCCCTGTGCTCCAAAACACGGAAAGGTCCGTCGTAAGGAGGCCGTAGAGGACCCCTGTGCACGTCGTGCCGTATGAAAACGTGCTCTGCCGAGCGGAGATCCGCGGGAACCCGGGACACCTGAGTACCATGTTGGGCAATGGGAATCAGAGCAAAAGTCTCGGCGGTGTCCTGCAGGCAAACCCGCTGTGCTGACGCCGACCAGGGAACCGATGTGTTAGGGAGGAAATCCCCTGGAACTCTCAGCGGCTGACCGTAGACCATCTCAGCCGTGGAACACTGCAGGTCTTCCTTGGGCGCGGTCCGCAGTCCCAGCATTACCCAAGGCAGCTTGTCGACCTAATTTCCGTCCTTCAGGCCGGCTCTGAGTGCTGCCTTCATGGAGCGATGGAAACGTTCACAGAGGCCGTTAGCCTGAGGGTGATAAGCGGTTGTCCTGTGAAGCTTAACCCCCAGACCACACGCCACGGCGTTCCAGAGCTCAGACGTGAACTGCGAACCCCGGTCAGAGGAAATGTCCGACGTGGTGCCAAACCGACACACCCACGTCGCAATGAAAGCCCGGGCTATGTCAGCCGCCGACGTCGACACGAGAGGAACCGCCTCCGGCCGACGGGAACGTCCTGTCCACCATGGTGAGGAGGTAGGAAAAACCCTGAGAAGAGGGCAATGGACCCACTAGGTCGATGTTGACGTGGTCAAACCTCCTCACCATGAAACGTTCCAAAGGAGCTTTCGTGGGGCGATGCACCTTAGCGTGCTGACAAGCCACGCACTCACCAGCCCAAGTCCTCACGTCCCTTTTAAGTCCCCGCCAGACGAACATTGCGGCCACCAAGCGCAACAAAGGTTTACCGCCGGGGTGAGACAGGTCGTGCACCGCCTCGAAAACGGAGCGCCTCCAACTGGCGGGAACGACCGGCCGCGGCAGGCCTGTGGAGACGTCGCACAGGAGAGTAACGCCTGCGTCACCGAAAACCACGTCTTCCAAGCGCATTCCCAAGCTGTCCTCCTTCAGGGCCTGTACGCCGGGGTCCGTGACCTGGTCCGTCGCCATGCGGGTATAGTCCAGGCCCAACTGGACGGCCCCCATGACAACCCTGGAGAGACAATCTGCGACCAGGTTTGATTTGCCAGCCACGTGCTTAATGTCCGTGGTGAACTCTGAGATGTAAGACAGCTGCCGCTGCTGACGTGCAGACCAAGGCTCAGCCACTTTTGACATGGCGAACGTGAGCGGCTTGTGGTCGACAAACGCCGTAAATTCACGGCCTTCCAGCAAAAAATGGAAGTGCCGCACGGCCAGCCAGAGTCCAAGGGGCTCTCGGTCAAAGGCGCTGTACCTGTGTTCTCTGGGCATCAGCTGACGGCTGAAAAAGGCGAGTGGCTGCCAAGCGCCCTCCACCCACTGCTCGTGCACCACACCAACTGCGTAGTCCGATGCGTCTGTGGTAATGGAGATGGGAGCCGTGGATGATGGGTGCGCCAACAAGGCCGCCTGAGCCAACGCGGTCTTGACCTCCGTAAAAGCAGACTCAGCTTCCGCCGTCCAGTCGATCGCCTGGATGGGGGTGGTACCCTTCAAAGCTTCATACAGCGGCCGCATAATGTGGGCGGCCCGGGCGATGAAACGGTGGTAGAAAGTCACCATCCCCTGTGTTAGCGGGCGAGGAAACACCGCGACAGCCTCAAACTTCGCCGGCAGGGGTGCTGCACCGCCTTTGGTGACGCGGTGTCCGAGGAAGTCAATGTCAAACACCCCGAACTGGCACTTTGCAGGATTGATTATCAACCTGTGTTGGCTGAGCCTCGTGAAAAGGGCTCGGAGGTGTGACAGGTGCTCTTCCACCGAAGCGCTGGCGACGAGTATGTCGTCCAGGTAGACGAACACAAACGGCAGGTCCCACAGCACCGAATCCATCAGGCGCTGGAGCGGCGTTCTTGAGCCCAAAAGGCATCCGCAGGAACTCGAAAAGTCCAAACGGCGTTATCACTGCCGTCTTAGGAACGTCCAGGAGATGCATGGGCACCTGGTGGTATCCGCGCACCAGGTCCACTTTAGAAAACACTAACGTACCGGCCAGATGTGCTGAAAAGTCCTGAATGTGCGGCACCGGGTCGCTACCCGTCAGGTGTCGTGGCGTCGTTGAGGCGGCGGTAATCCCCGCACGGGCGCCAACCGCCGTTCAGCTTGGGAACGACGTGTAGAGGAGAGGCCCAAAGACTGTCAGAACGGCGGACGATACCCAGGCGTTCCATGGTTGAAAACTCCGCCCTCGCTACTGCAAGCTTAGAAGGGTTCAACCGCAGGGCCCTGGCGTAGACTGGGGGACCATCGGCGGTGACGTGGTGCTCCACCCCATGCTTGGTGGTGAGCGCGGAGAAGGTGGGTAGCGTCAGGTCTGGAAATTCAGCCAACAACCTGAGAAAAATGTCCGCTCCCGACAGCGAGCCCGACAGTCCGTCGTAAGCCGCCTTGCCAAGTGTACACACGAGGGAGGAAAACGTCATGGCATCAACCAAGCGTTTATTTTTAACGTCCACCAGGAGTCCGCGAGCACATAAAAACTCTGCCCCGAGGAGGGGAAAATAAATGTCTGCCGTCACAAAATCCCAGTCGAACCGCTGTCCTCCAATACACAAACACATAGGCCTCACGCCGTACGTGTGAATGGGGCCGCTATTAGCCGTCGTCAACCGCGGTCCATGTCCCCCATGAGTGACGTCTTCCCTCGACGCAGGAACAACACTCCGTTGAGCTCCTGTGTCACACAGAAACAAGCTTCCTGAGACTCTGTCGCTGACGAAGAGAAGCCTGCTCGTGCCGCCAATGCTCAGGGCCACTACTGAGCGCCGGCTCCTCCGTTTTCCGGAGGCTTGTAACTGCAGGGAGCAACACACTTCTTCGCCCTGGCCCTGAACCGCGCGTGGTAAAGACACTCTCCTGTGTCCCCACGCCGGCTTGGTACCGTCACGTCCAGCCTCCCCCAAGCCTTCTTAACTGTAGAGGGGGGGCCGAGCGTCACAGCTAGCGCCTCTGCACCGGACTGCTGGGTAGCCAGGAAAAAACGGTCGGCCTCTTCAGCCAAGGCACGGGGCTCCTTAATGGACGTGTTGGCTAGCGCCGTCTGAACCCGGGAAGGCAAGTTGCGCAGGAACGTCTCCATGAACAAAATCCCGGGATCGTCCCCCCCTAGCAGATTTTGCATTTTCTCCATCAGCTGAGATGGCTTGCTGTCTCCTAGGCCTTGAATGTCAAGTATCTGGCGGGCCCTCTCCTTAGCAGATAAGCTAAATGTCTTAAGGAGAAGGGCCTTAATCGCCTCATATTTACCATGGTGTGGGGGGTCTGTGATAAATCCCACCAACTTGGATGACGTGGAGCTTCCCATCGCTGCTACCACGTGGAAATATTTCAAATCCCTGTCACGGACTTGTCGGCAGGCAAAGTGTGCCTCCACATGTGCGAACCACGCCGCAGCGGCATGCTCCCAAAACTTCAGCAGCTTTACAAAAACATCGCGATCAGCCATGTTCATTGAGTCTTCGGAAACTTTCAAGAAAACGTCAGGGTCACCAGTGTAGAGCCAATGAACGGGAGTCAGAGGCGGTGTATTCAGAATGGACTTCCACACTTTATTATCCATTAATCGACAAGAGGTAAGTACATGTGCTGCTCTGTATGATAAGCCAGCATGAATGACAACAAACCCCGGTACCCTCACTAACGGGTCCGGGTTGCAACACACACTAATCACACGGTGAATTATGTATCATAACGTGTCACCACAACATACATTACATACATGTTGATTTAGGACCAGAGGTCGCGTTAACCGAATATTTTCCGTCAATGACGGATTTTTTCTAACAATGACGGAAAAATCTGAAAGCAGTCCGTCATTTTGACAGATTAGAACACAACTCGGAACAGCGCCAAAATGTCCACCAGCGGCCCACATTATATTACATCCTTAGTGGCCAGGTAGACTGAGGGCGATCTACTGTACTCTACTGTACTCTACTGTAGTCTGTAACTATTATTTAGTCATTCACACCCCTGTCCCCCCACCCCTGGTGGCGAGGTTGTGTATATTAAGTAGCTATTGTCTAGTCTTGTTTTTGACCTCGTTGATTACCTCGTTGTTTAACCGGCTTTAGCAATTGCAAAATGTCACGGCAGCTGATAATCCGAAGCTTTTTTAATAAGCCCAATAATTGTGATGGTGAGGATAAACAAGGTGAAAAAAGAGGGATTGATGCGGTGGAGGATGAAGGACAAGCCAGTAAGATGGCAGAGGAGCAAGCAAGTGGCAAGGAGTTCAAGCGGGAGTACCGGGTTCAGTGGGAGCAAGAGTTTAAGTGGCTGAGGAGGGAAGATGGCAAAATGTTCTGCGACATCTGTAGAAAAGCTCAAATGAGTAACGGATTTGTCCGAGGGTGCACGACGATGCAGAAATCAGCGTTCAGGCTTGGCTACAGCAGGTCAATTGAGTTGTTCTTGTACATGTTTTGTTCATATTTTGATTGTAATTGTCTCATTTAAAACGATGGCATTGTTCATATTTGCCTGTTTAGGCACAATGGTCGCGGCGTTTTTAGCGGCCTCTGCCCCCCTCTCCTGTGCTGTCAGTGCAGGAAAAAATAAATCATTCATGTTCATGTTGACATGAAAAGTGACCACACGGTCGGTGTCCCTGTTCATCTTTTCTTTTCTCCATGCCCTTAAAAGTTCTGTATGAATCATTAAAAAAAAATGAATGAATGAACATTTGCTGCTCAGTACCCAAACATACATATTAAATATGTCTCATCTCATCATTAAAACATGAAAAATAAAATGACGGGTAATAATGGATTATGACGGAAATGTTACGATCCTGTCCGTCAAAATGACGGACAACGAAAAAGTCTAACGCAACCACTGTTTAGGACACTTCTATCTGCTGCTAGCAACATAACAAAACTTCCCCTACTAACAGACTACATCAAAAACACTGACAATAATTTGTCCCCTGAACAGATACAGGTGTACAAATACACATGTAGAACAAATAGTGAAAAACTCACAAGCTTGTAATAACCATAGAACTTATTTTGGGAATCGAAACCAAAAACAGGTTCGAAAAACCAGTCACTTCAAGGCAAGGGGGCTAAAGTGCTAAAATGCTAACTAATTTCCGGGGTTAAAAACTCTTACACCACTCTATTGTCTGTGTAGTAGAGGTGTAACGGTTCACAGAAGTCACGGTTCGGTTCATACCTCGGTTTGGGGGTCACGGTTCGGTACGGGTTCGGTACAACAAGGAAAAACAAAAAAAAGTTACAAATGCATACTTTTTTTTGTTGTTATTTATTTGTAACAGTAGTGAAAGTTTTGGTATGAAAATAAGGAACTCTAACATTTGGAATCATTAACTGTATTACACAGTTAAAAACAAACCACAAACAGTAACACTCAGATGGCCATATTATTTATATTGGCTGATGTCAAACAAAAAGGTTAAATAAGCTGTACAACTAAAAATAATGTCTTGAAAATATTAAAATAAATAATAAGAAAGTGTTTCAATCACAATCAATAAAAGGCAATACAGAACTGTATAACATCTCCTGATGTCAAAATATAAAATAAATACAATGATAAATATAAAACAAAATAAAATCTGTACCTTTAGGAGCAATGTCTAACATGTGTAATTAACTTGTGAGTGTGTGAGGCCATTATGCCTAAATAAAGGTATTCAAGCTTTACTCTATTTTCAAGTTTTTCTTCAAAAAGATGAGTTTGTCTACGTTGTCAGTAGTGAGGGCAGATCTGTTGGCGGTAACTATGTCACCTGCCGCCGAGAAAACCCTCTCGCTGGGGACTAAGACTGACTCGGATGTGACTGAGCATGTTTGACGTGTTACCACTAGCATACCGCACCGCTGTCGAACAACGCCGACACACCGTCCTCGTCCGATCCACAACTCGCACCCCATCATTGTTGTAATCCACAGGGAACCCGAAATGTTCCCACACACTTGATTTAAAAGAAGCAGGTGGGTCTTCTAGCTCCTGTGTGTTGTGTGAACTCGCCATAGCTAACTTTTCTTCTTCATGTATTGTGTTCGTTTTGTTGTGTTTTGTTCTTGTTCTTCATTTGTTATTTACGGGCGGCTGGCTTTTAGGCGCAATACCGCCCCCTGTATTATATATAGTGTAATACTGCCCGGAATGACAGACTTTTTTCCCACTCGTAAAAAAAGGCGTATTCGCCGTGTGACTGCATGTGCCGAACCGTGACGTCCGAACCGTGACGGTACGGGACGAATACGGATACCGTTACACCCCTACTGTGTAGCCAAAGTCTGGTTGGTTGTCTAAAACTGATTTAAAACAAATGATTGAACAGCACTGTTGTATAGCCTCTCAGTAGGCTATACAACAGTGCTGTTCAAACATTTGCATTATTAATAATTTCCCTACTGCATGACAGGCTAGCTCGACAGGAGTGCTAAATGCTAATGTCAACATGCTAACATGCTGCATTTCCACTGCATGCTATGGCACGGCTCAACTTCCTTAGAACCATTTATTTTCCGATATCAAAAGTGGTTGATAGTAGCCGGTACCTTTTTTGGTTCCATCTTTACTAGACATATACAACAGGGGACATCCTGCACCAACTCGCTATCTTATTTTTTTCTAGTTCCGTTATTAAGCTATTATTATTATATCAGTGGCATAATGTCCTAATTTGACAAGAATAGTTAATTTTCAGGAAAATATTCATTGTCCAACAAAAGTAGTCATTGTGACGGACCGAGGCCTTCAAAAATAAACCCTCATCAGTAGTACCTGGCGTAGAGGTAAGCCATGAGGCCTAGAGGAGACCCGACCTGCAGAATGCTCTTCCCTTTGCTGTTGCCGAAGCTCAGAGCTGACGGATCCTCAGAGGAATGGAAGTCCAAAGAGCCGGGTCCACAGGAGGCCAAAGAAGGAAGTAATGAAACCTCCAAACCCCACTGGTCCACACTCAGAATCTGCAGAAATATAATAAATAATGTCAAGGACAGAAGAGCCAAGTTGTTAGATAATAAATAAGAAAAAGCATTGTTTGGATTTGTGAAACTTTGAAAGTACCTCAAGATATTTCTTCACCGTATCCAAGAAGACAACTTTGGATCGGAGTTCCGCAAGCTGGGACTTGAGTTTGGACAGCATCAGTTTGTTGTCAGAACCTTTGGTTGAATAAGAATAATTGGATACAATGATACTGATACAGCACTGATCGAGTTTTTCTGTAACTATCCAAGTCTGTTCACATTTTATATTCCATTAACCAGTCTTTAGACACTGCCAGAGCCCATAGGCCTACTGTGTTCCTGTTAGTGTTTACTTCCTGTCTGTCTTCTTCTGATGTTCCCTTTAATGTTTACTTCCGGTCTCTTTTCTTCTGCTGTTCCCTTCAGTGTTTACTTCCTGTCTGTCTCCTATGCTGTTCCCTTCAGCGTTTACTTCCTATCTGTCTCCTATGCTGTTCCCTTCAGCGTTTACTTCCTATCTGTCTCCTATGCTGTTCTCTTTGGTGTTTACTTCCTGTCTGTCTCCTATGCTGTTCCCTTTGGTGTTTACTTCCTGTCTGTCTCCTATGCTGTTCCCTTTGGTGTTTACTTCCTGTCTGTCTCCTATGATGTTCCCTTCAGCGTTTACTTCCTGTATATCTCATATGCTGTTCCCTTCAGTGTTTACTTCCTGTCTGTCTCCTATGCTGTTCCCTTTGGTGTTTACTTCCTGTCTGTCTCCTATGCTGTTGCCTTTAGTGTTTACTTCCTGTCTGTCTCCTATGCTGTTGCCTTTAGTGTTTACTTCCTGTCTGTCTTCTTCCGCCGTTCCCTTTAGTGTTTAATGCTGCCTTCTGTGGCCTTGAATACATTTCCTTCTCTTTAACAGTTTTCCTGTTTAGGTGTTCTTTTTGGCGCGTTTTCGTGCTTATCACAAATATTGAAATGAATATTAAGAAAGAAGTCCATGTTTTGTTTTTTTCACTCAGACACTCAAATCCAGCACCAGACAATTTTCACACTGCTATGGACAATATTGCAATAATGCACATTCGATGAACAATCTGCACTAATGTACATTCTCAAAATATTGAAGTGACTGTTATTTTGTATATATTGATTGTTGTGTTTTTATTTAGGTCTTAATGTGTTCACATGTAAAAATGTGTCTTTGACTGTGTACATACATATTTGCACAAATATTTTTATATTTTATATTCTATAGACATTGTTTTTATATTCTGGATTGTGGGAAACAATGTTTTGATCTCTGTCTGTACACACAAACTGGAAGATTGACATTAAAGTTGACTTTTACTTTAATGTGTTTATACCACAGCCGGTATCAATTGACCAGACTTCCTTCTGCAGATTGATGTGACAGCAAATGATCTATTTAGGCAACAGTAGCTCAGTGGGACTTGGCTTGGGAACCGAATGATTGCCGATTGAACTCCCGATTGGAGCTACAATACGTTGTGTGGACTGGTAGCTGGAGATTTGCCATTGTATCTCATCGGGACTGCCACAGTGTCCTTGAGCAAGGCACCAAACCCAGACTGCTCCCTGGCCCTGGGAAACCTGGCAGCCTATTTGCTCCGACACCTCTCCATAGTAAATATGCATGTGTTTGTATATGTATTTATGTATTCAGACCTAATGGGCTTATGTCCTGTGACCTGTTCTGTGTATACTAACAGAATGAACAACTGGATATCCAATTGGGGATAAATGGATCAGGAAAAGTCTTGATCAGAGCATCCTTAGCAACAGTCTGCTATCGTAAAAGAGCAGATTGCTGAATGCAATTGGAGTCAGGACTCAAAGAGAGACACGATGGAGAGCTGGAGCTTTGATGGCAAACACTGACGGTTTATTTGGAGCTACGGCCGGAAAATTGACGAGACATGTCACAGGGCCATGTGGTCTAACCACACGGTTGAGATGCCACAATCAATTCTGAAGAGCCCTCCTGTAGCTCAAGGTTTTAACTAGTTCAGAGTGTAATAATCAACATTCTTCAATAGATAGACTAAACAGCTGAGGACACTGAATCACATTTGTTGTCGCTTATGGCTCGGGGTCATCTACACCCCGAGAAGGATGTGTTCCAGGTGTCCCACAACAATAACTATCTCTGACCGAGAGTTGCCCGGTCATAAACTGGCAACATCAACAATATGCTAGGGCAGCCCCTCCTTATGGGAGATAACGGCTGCTCAAGGTTGGTCAGCTGCGTCAGAGGGCAAAAGGTAAACATGTAGGGCGAAATGATTCCCAGACAGTTTTGATATGGGTACCTTTGTTTTTTCTCTCTTGCTGCAGCAGCTTCTGGTAGAAATTTCTTGTTTTCTTAAGATTCCTTGTTTCAATCATCAGCTGTTGCTGCAGTTCCTGTAAAAAAGAAAAAAGGCTCAAAATCACACACACGGCCCAAAGATAACACCACATGCTTTTCACAGAAAGAGCTTTGTTATAAATAAATATGTGGCAGCACTTTATTTCTCTCTCTTCACCGTGGCAACAGAAGGCAACAGCTCTTTTGTAGTGAAGTGATCGAGGAGTCGTAGCAGCATGGCTCTTAAGGTGTGTCCTTAGTGGTTACACTTAGTGGTTACACAAACCTTCAGAAGAAGCAGCGCTGCCATCAAAGCGTGCTAACACAAAGACTATTCATTAATATTCTTCTGCAAATGATATTAACTTTCTTTGCCGAGGGCCAAGTTCACATATTCATATTCAGATCCAGTTTGGAGAGAATAATATGTCAATTATCTTAAAGTGCCCCACATGTTCTCGTCCTATTTACCCCAAAGCTGACCCACTTTATTGCAGATAGGAACATAAATCCTGCTCCGATAACCCAGCACGAGAATAAAACTAGGGAGTGAAACTGCATTTAATAAGAAGTTAGATATAACACAATAGATAGCCTACATTGCAAGAATGGAAATGAAAAAACACTAAAACACAAGCTGCAGTTTATCACCATAAAGTAATAAAACACAAATATGAGGATATTTTGATGGATATATTTCAAGATCTTTTTTGTGCAGAAAACCTCTTCTCTCTCCTATTAAAGGGGCCTTATTGTGCTAATGTTCAGGTTCATATCAGTATGTAGTGTCTCTCCTGTGATATGTCTCCATACTTTAATGTTCAAAAAGCTCTTTATTTTCCTCATACTGCCTGTGCTGCAGCACCTCTTTTCACCCTCTGTCTGAAACCAGAGCCCAGTCTGCTCTGATTGGTTAGCTGGCCGACTGTTGTGATTAGTCAAGCACTTAGAGATGTCCCGCCCCTTAGAACCTATAGAACACACTACAGGAAATGAAAACTACACAATAGTGCCACTTTAAATAAATATGCACCCACAGAGTGTTGCTTCCTAATATATCCTTCTTTATTTTAAAATGTATTGTAAACTTCTAATTCTGCCAGTAATCCTTGTTTTTCAAAGATTTACCAGAAATCTGATTACATATTTTTTTCATTAACAGTAATGGAAAACTTTACTTACTAATTACTAACTAATATTATATATGTTAAATGACTGGATTATGATTATTGATGCATTGATGCGTTTTACTCACAGCTAGTAAAGGTAGAGCTAATGTTAATGCTTCTGCTGGATATCTTAGTCTAAAATTACATGTACATTTTTATTTATTAGTTCATTTATTTTTGTATTCGCTGGTAATATTTTGTATTAGCTAATAATCTGAATCTGTAGACAATAAATACAAATATATTATTATTATTATAACTATATACATTAATAATACTAATAATAATAACAACAACAACAACAACAACAACAACAACAACAACAATAATAATAATAATAATAATAATAATAATAATAAATGTAAAAAATACTTTACTTTTAGTACATCAAAATTACACTTAAGTAATATTCTTGAGTACTCAATTACATTCCATCACAGCATGTAATCTGTTACTCCACAAGCCTGGTAAAGGTCAAATCTGACATCTACTACCCACCTGTGTTTTCACATCCAGACATGGCGATCCTGTGTGTTGCCCCAGATTCACTGCGTACTCCATTACTTCTGCACTGAAACCCTCTGGTCCGTAGAGAGCCAGGGCCCAGGCCGGGCTGCAGCGGGGGCCCGGCCCCTCGGCTCTGGACCGGGGCGAGAGGAGTCGCTCCGATGCCAGAGAGTCACTGTCCTCCATGTTCTGCAGCCAGTCCGGGCTCATCTGCTCCTCCTGGGTCAGCCCTTCCTCTCTCCCTGAGGGAAACTCAGCTTCAGAGGGGCTTTCATCGCTGCCCCCCGCCGAATGATCCCCTCCCTCCATGAGCCCTGTGTCCAGACTGTCAGTGCTCACACCTCGACCAGTAAACAGGGAAGCACAGAGAAAAATAAAGAGAGGGACAGAATCACATGAAAATGTAAAGAGATCCAGGGATGGTGCTGAGGGTATTTATTGCTAACCCTGTCATGGGTGCACAATACACCCACTGTCTAACAGACTCCTAATACCGCTATCCCTTCATCTCAAGTATCTTGCATTAGCCTGTTTGTAATCATCACTACTAAGATTGAATTGCACAACCAGCACATATGCAAAGGGTGTGTTTGTGCATGTCATTGGCCAGGAATGAGTCCCAGAAGAGAGGGAGAACATCTTTAGAGTCAGCTAGCAGGCCTTGGACTCGTATGAATGTGGTTCAGTTCTTAAGAACAGCATCCAACAGCCAGTTACAGCCCTCATGACTCCAGGCAGCAGCCAAGTTCAGTGAAATATATCAAAACATTGCAAATAGATTGGGCTGAAATACAGTTTCAAATCTGTTTATACAATTCTAATCATCAAAAGGATTGTTTAAAGGGGGCTAATTTATTAAAAACAAAAAGGTTTTGATTGTATTTTGTACATACAGAAGAGGATAAGGGTCACATGTGAAGTGTGAAGTGATTGTTTTTTCCTCCTTTCCTTAAAAGTAATTACAATTTAAATCTCAAAGTTCTGATTTTAATTTCCCTCAGAATCTGCCCTCTTTCCTAAAATGTCCGACTTTCATCTCAGAATCCAGATCTTTTTCTCAGAATTCTGACTTTAATCTCAACATTCTCACTTCAATTTCATAACAAAAAAGTAAGTACCCATTTAAGGTATAAGCAAAAGCAATTTTTCATTAGCATTTATACTTGTATAGACTATATGACATCACCTCTGGTGTGGTGGACTTTGATTTCAAAATAATCTTATCAGCCAAACACAATGGGACAACCACTATATTGAAGAGCAAGCAGGCATTGATTTACCAAAGGCTGAAATGAAGTGTTTTGTACAACGACCTCATACAATCATGTGATATAATGCTGAGTATGCAACATGGGCCACAATCATATCAGTTAGTGACGAACCTAAGGCCACATAAACAACCATCTTTGTAGGGATATGTGCGGTAAGCATAAATAAAAAAACAACTTCTATAATCTGTTGAGTGGTTAATATATCTAGAAAATGTAATATGCATTATATTCCTTGCTTCAAACCCGTCACATGCTTTGAGTGTGTTTATGGGTACATCTCCAACACTTGTACTTTGAGTAGAGGCATACAAGAAAAGAAAAGGGAAATGGTGTAGTTTGTTTACAGCATTAAGTTAGCTTTTTACTTCTTGCAATTGCATTTATGCTCCAAAATCCAAATACATTTGGATTTAATAGTGCAGTTACAAATACATTTTAATTCAAATCAAAGGCTATACATTATTGTCGAACCTCAGATTGAGGAGGAACAATGCGGATTTCGTCCTGGTCGTGGAACAACGGATCAGCTTTTTACTCTCGCAAGGATCCTGGAGGGGGCCTGGGAGTACGCTTATCCGGTCTACATGTGTTTTGTAGACTTGGAGAAGGCGTATGACCGAGTTCCCAGGGAGTTACTGTGGGAGGTGCTGCGGGAGTATGGGGTGAGGGGGTCTCTACTCAGGGCCATCCAATCTCTGTACTCCCAAAGCGAGAGCTGTGTCCGGGTCCTCGGCAGTAAGTCGGACCCATTTCCGGTGAGGGTTGGCCGCCGCCAGGGCTGCGCTTTGTCACCAATCCTGTTTGTAATATACATGGATCGGATTTCGAGGCGTAGTCATGGGGGAGGGGGTCTGCAGTTCGGTGGACTAAGGATTGCACCACTGCTTTTTGCAGATGATGTGGTTCTAATGGCTTCATCGGTCTGCGACCTTCAGCACTCACTGGATCGGTTCGCAACCGAGTGTGAAGCGGCTGGGATGAGGATCAGCACCTCCAAATCTGAGGCCATGGTTCCCAGCAGGAAACCGATGGACTGTCCACTTCAAGTAGGGAATGAGTCCTTACCCCAAGTGAAGGAGTTCAAGTATCTCGGGGTCTTGTTCTCGAGTGAGGGAACAATGGAGCGTGAGATGGGCCGGAGAATCGGAGCAGCGGGAGCGGTACTGCAGTCGCTTTACCGCACCGTTGTGACGAAAAGGGAGCTGAGCCAGAAGGCAAAGCTCTCTGTCTACCGGGCCATTTTCGTTCCTATCCTCACCTATGGTCATGAAGGATGGGTCATGACCGAAAGAACGAGATCGCGGATACAAGCGGCCGAGATGGGTTTTCTCCGCAGGGTGGCTGGTGTCTCCCTTAGGGATAAGGTGAGAAGTTCGGTCATCAGGGAGGGACTCGGAGTTGAGCCGCTCCTCCTTCGCGTTGAAAGGAGCCAGTTGAGGTGGTTCGGGCACCTAGTTAGGATGCCACCTGGGCGCCTCCCTAGGGAGGTGTTCCAGGCACGTCCAGCTGGGAAGAGACCAAGGGGTAGACCTAGGACCAGTTGGAGGGATTATATCTCTTTGCTGGCCTGGGAGCGCCTTGGGATCCCCCAATCAGAGCTGGTTGATGTCGCCAGGGAAAAGAAAGTTTGGGGCTCTCTGCTGGAACTGCTACCCCCGCGACCCGACCACGGATAAGCGGGAGAAGATGGATGGATGGATGGCTATACATTAAAAATAAACTCAAAATTGGCCTCATATATCCATATTTAGCTTGATCTACACTGTTATGAACAAATATGTTATTAATATGGAACTGGATCCAACATTGACCTGGCTATTATGGCGCATTTCCACTACAGCGCGGAGCATGGTTTAAGCGTGCCGTGCCATGCCCGGCCCGTTTTTGGTTGCGTTTCCACTAGGCGTAGTTCTGGCTAGCGGGTACTTTTTCACAGTTTTCTGGCTCTCCAAAATCGAGGTTCTTTCCGGGCCAACAACCGGGCTGAGTATGCTAAACTAGTGAGAGAATCGCTGGCAACTACAACAAAATGAACATATTTGACCGTGATTTAATTGTAATACACGTCTCTAAATGATGCCGAAGTAACAACATACTGATACCGGTTAGTAAAAACCATGAATTAATGCTTTGACAAGTCTGCAGACAGACGGCAGGCGAAGAACCTTTGAAAATGCGTGTTTTCTGAATGGAGATTGGCTAAGCTAACGCAGTATATGCTCCGACCGTCCACACTCACAACAACGGCCTACAGACATAAATAAACCAGCGACTGTATTCGCCATGACACAGACAGTCTGTGGTTTGTACTTGTTTAACTTTTGTCTAGTTTCTGAACAGATATGAAGAGCTGTGAGCTGAGTGCTAACAACTAACGGCTGATGTTGGTTTTGTGTTTCGCATTGAAGATGACGTCACGGCTCCGCCTACACTGCGTTACGATGGTTACTACCCCAGTTCCTAAATTGTAATGGAAACGCAGGATAAAGTGAGCCTGGCCTACCAAGGCCTAACTATACCGTACTAATGCTGCGTTCACATCGGACGCGATGCGATGTTTGGGGGCGGCGCGATTACATGTAAAGTCAATGCAGGCGAGCATGAACCGGTGGACGCGACGCGAATCACGCGGATGAGCGGTGCCGCGTCAAACGCGAGAGTTACATTTTTTCAACTCGAGCGTTAAATTCACGTGACGCGTTCTCGCGGAAGCCAATCAGCGGTGAGGATCTCAGCCTGCCGTCACTGACGTTCAACCAGAAAACATCAGCCGTTAGCCGTTAGCTGTTAGCAGTTAGCACACAGAGATCACAGCTCCTCATATCTGTTCAGAAACTAGACAAAAGTTAAGCAAGTACAAACCACAGACTGTCTGTGTCATGGCGAATACAGTCGCTGGTTTATTTATGTCTGTAGGCCGTTGTTATGAGTGTGGAGTAAGCATATATAACGTTAGTTTAGCCTGGTCGACCCGATCTTCATTCAGAAAACAAGCATTTTAAAAAGGTTTCTCGCCTGCCGTCTTGTCTGCAGACTTGTCAAGCATTAATTCATGGTTTTTACTAACCGGTATCAGTATGTTGTTACTTCGGCATAATTTAGAAACGTGTATTACAATTTAATCACGGTAAAATATGTTCATTTTGTTGTAGTTGCAGCTCCCGAGCCAGCGCGTCTTGTTTGAATGATGCGAGTAAACACAGCTGGTAGCTGCGGTGAAACTCGAGCGTTTAGAGTGAAGCAAATATTCGCATCGCGTCCGGTGTGAACGCACCATTAGACTAGAGCGATGCGCAGTGGCGGTGCCAGGGTATGGCTGGGGTAGGCTACAGCCATACCAAGAAATGGCTAAGCCCTACCTTAGCCCGACCATGAACAAGTAAGCATGTTGAGAACACGGATTGCGAAAATCTACCGGTAGTGTCCACAACACACAAACTGATCCTGCTGTAACAACAAGTGCACGTTACTGACGCAATATGGTTGAGACCATTCGGGCTTATGCTAGAGGGGTGCACGGAATAGTCTAAGTAGTGGGGGAGTTGTATACACTAAAGGTGTGGACATTCTCTCGCGTTATAATATCAGCGCGGCCGCGGTCAGATCAAAATGCCTCCGAATGCAATTTGAACAGACCTACAGCCAATCAGAGCAACGAAACGTTGGGTCTGCTGCGTCATGCATTACTGATACGTCGATACGTCACGTTCATAGTGAAAAGTCCCCAAACTCGCGCCGAGTAAATTGCAGACAGACAGCAGAACTTCTAGGATTAATTGTAAATTTCGGATGGATAGATTTGTTCTTAAACGCCCTCACATTGAGGTACAAGTCGAACAGGTGCCAGAGTCACACGACCCACCTGAAGAGTGAATAGTGAGTTTTGAATATATTTTGTAATAGTCATTTGAAAAAGTGTTTTGTATGACAATAGAGACACAGGCCACCTGTTGTGTGCTGTGTCTGTCTCTCTCTGTTTACCTGTGTCTGTGTCTCTCTCTCTGTCTCTCTCCCTCACTCTCCCTCTCTCTCTCCCTCTCTGTGTCAATTCTATATGTCAACTTTTCTTGTTTCTGCCGCTGCGTAGCATGTTGTAACAATGTGGAATTAGCAGAATAGGCTATTGTATTGTTTAACTCACACCTGTTGCTCTCGATGTAATTTAGCTGATAAAAGGAGACTAATAAAAGCTAATAAAAGCCTCACGCTTGGCGTTTCACTGTCAAGGGGTGCGATATAGCGTGTATGTAATTACATTACAAATACTGACTTGAGCCCCACCACTGTATGGGTTAGCCCTACCATAGATTACCCAACAAAAATACTCTGGCGCCACTGGCGATGCGATAGGAGCGTTTAGAGCGAAGCGAATATTCACATCGCGTCCGGTGTGAACGCAGCAGAAGCCGTGCGAGGCCCTGCAGTGGAAATGCGCCATAATGACTCACACATCAGATGTGTTTCCTGTAGGACCAAGATTTTTAGATTCAAAGTTTAAGATTAAACTCAGAAATCCGAGAGAAAGTCAGAATTAAAAAAAATCTGAATTCTGACTTAAAAGAAAAACAATTTATTTTGGTCAGATTCAAATGTACATGTGACCCAATCCTCCTCCGGATTGTCCTAAACAATATAAATAACATTGAGTCTTTCTCCTACTTGGACTGATGCTGTGTTGACGCTCCTCTGATCCTGATTTTAAACCTTTACATGCAGCCTCATATTCTCCATGAGCGGGCCTGGCCTCAGGTCCTTCCCATGGATCCACATCAGAGGGGCTGGCTGTGTGTACGTTTCCATTCAGGTCCAGACAACCGTGCAGACAAAGTTCTCTCTTCCCTCCCCAGGCAGCAGATATCAAGGGTGGGGTAAGGTTTGCCCTTTTCACAGCCTTTGATGGAGGCTGCTCATTAGAGCCGCTGCAGGAGGGAGGAAACACACGGTCAGTTCAAAGCCAGCCACAATTAGCACCTAAGTAAAGGACAATGACAATCATATGCATTTCAGCACGTAATAAAGAAGACAACTGGGAGATAGACGGACAGATTTGATTAAACCTAAGAAAAAATGTGTCTTGTGCAACAACCCATTGCTTTACATAAAAACAGCATTTCAATTACATTGGGCAGCACCATCATTTGAAATGGATCGATATCTAAATAGGGATATTTAAATCGCAGAATGGCAAAATATGTGAACATTTCTAAATGAAGTATTGCAATAATAAAATAATATTAATAATTATTAAAACAATTATTTGTTACAAAAATCTAAAATAATTAAAACAAATAAAGAAATCACACTTTGATCTTTAAATATACATAATAAAGTAAATATATAAAAACCTACAATTTTTTGAGAGATAATAAAAATGATAATTCTCTGTATTAAATCAATCATATCGCAATTTCAAGACCGGTCATAATAATCACAATTTTTGAAAATGGTGCATTGGCAGCCCTATAACAACATATAATCATCGTGAAACACAACACACATTAGACATTGACAACACGACAGCTTAAAAAAATAAAGATTGCCCATAGCAACAATCACAAACAAAAAGCCTTCGAAGCCTGATTTAAAAAATATTGCAGCTCACATCCTGCAGATACGTTGCTTTTGCAGTCACACCGATGGATCCATCCAGCACACATTCAGTCCTCTCTATACATCATAAAGGAGAGGCTACAGCCCTCCTTCTATTAGAGGAACAAGAACTGTGGACAGCTGAGCCCCGTGAACAAGCCCTGCAATTCTCAAGGAAGAGTGTCCATGTATAAAAGGCTGTGATGTCCTCCTGCTCCAGCAGATTAAAGGCTCTCTCCACATATGGCTCCTGAGCACAAGAGCATGGAAACGGATAGATGAATAGATGTCTGTGGAACCCATTGAACCCCCCCCCCACACACACACACACACTTTAGTGCTGCTCGGTAACAATGTATTAGAGGCCTTACATGTATCTTCACTATTGTCGGACATCCTACCCGGCACTATCAGTTACCATAGGGACCGTTTCAGATGCAGGCTTAAGTGTGTGTGAAGTGAATGCTGTGTATGGGTGAGAAGAGGAGGAGTAGGGTGTTGGGGGGGTTTATAACTTATGAGATATAAAGAGGACATATATGTTAATTCTCAGGTTCATATTAGTGTTTTGTGTCTCTACTGTGACATGTCTCCATGCTTTTAGGTTCAAAAAGCCCTTTATTTTTCTCATACTACCTGTGCTGCGGCACCTCTTTTCACCCTCCGTCTGAAACCAGAGCCCAGTCTGCTCTGATTGGTTAGCTGGCCTGCTCTGTTGTGATTGGTCAACCGCTTAGAGATGTCCCGCCCGTTAGCGAATCATGTTCAATGTGTTGGAGCACTAGACAATAGTGTGAGTGTTACATAGTGATGGAGGCGTGTGGCGCAGTGGGTGGTGCGTATGTGTTCGGATCAGGAGGTCACAGGTTCAAACCCCACTGCAGTCAGCATGTCGTTGTGTCCCTGAGACACTTCCCCCCAAATGGCTCCTGTGGGGATTACCCACAGTATTGAGTATGTAAGTCGCTTTGAATAAAAGCGACTAACAAGTGACATGTAATGTAATGTCACTATGTTACAGAAGTAAACAAAGGAGTCCAATTTAACAACATTTACATGCACTAAAACCTATGTAACACACTAAAGGAAAGGGACTATCTAAAGGTAAATATTCACCAGGAAATGTGTACAACACATAATGCAGGATAACTGTGTCATTTCGATTCATCAGAGTAAAAACTTACATATGAAGTCTTGTCTTGTCCCTATTTGAATCAATCACTTTGCTTATGGAGTGGATTTCACTTTCAGAGCAGCTGCTCCTCAATAACAAATCTCCTGGTAAGTCTAAGTGCAAAATCATTTCTGTCAAGACGTAACACTCTGTTCTCACAAACATCAACCTTTCCTTATTCGTTTCACTCTACTGATTGAAATACATATTCAGTTCAGGAGCAAAATAGAACAAATTCCCATGAGCGTCATTTTCAGAGAATGAACATTTTCACAATTGTAACCTTTCTCCAAAGAAAAGCCAGGTGCTATTGCTATTCTTGGATTTTTGTCTAGCGGGGAAAGGGTCTGAGTAAACAGTTTTTGAAGAGAGCCTTGGACGAAAACAACAACTGCCATTGCCACCTTCCTATGAGTGTTCAAAATGAAGGAAGAAAGTGTCTGAGGTCCTACTCACAGTGTGGACGGGTTGTAGTTCACCAGGCAGTGCAGTACACCCAGCAAGTCTTCTTCCCAGTACAGATCCTTGAACCTCTCCTTCACAACACCGGCAAACATCTGGTACTGGAGGTCCTTCAACGAGAAGATATACTCCCCTCGGAAAAGAGAAACAGTCGATTTTCTAAATGAATGTGTTAACAGGTCAAAGCAGGATAATCGAGTGAGTCTTTGTTTTGTTGTATCACTGAAGAAAAGAAAAGCAGTCATCTTTTAAACCTTGAGATGTAGAGCATTCTCTGCAGCTTTTAGTTGACTGCTGTACAAGTCATTCTAGTTTGACGTCACTGCTGATGATTAACATATAAGTGGTGACCCTGACTTACATGATTGAATCATACTGGTCAAGTCATGCCTATAACTGACTGATCGTCAAATTATTATCTTTTTGGCTGTTGTTTTTTTGCTCATTGATCGCCCTCGGTTCAAGCTTTATTTAGCAAAGCTGGACACAGCTGTTTGCTTAATGTAAGGTGCTCAGACAGACAGACAGACAGACAGACAGACAGACAGACAGACAGACAGACAGACAGACAGACAGACAGACAGACAGACAGACAGACAGACAGACAGACAGACAGACAGACAGACAGACAGACAGGGTATCTGTGTCTGCCAGCTTTTTGTGGTTTCTGCAGTAATTCTATCACCAATTTAAGCAATCTCCAGACCTAAGGTAAACAACAGGGAATCAAAAGGTCAATCAATGAGAGAGAAGGAACAAGCTGTTCTCACATATGCTCCACACTACCAAACACAATGGTTTTAAAGTAGTGCAGTGACAATGTATTTTTGTAGGTCATCCTTGAAGAAAGCATCCCGTGAAAACTATGAAACTTGACTTATGAAACAAGTTTTGTTCAGCAGGATAATTTCCACATATTAACACTACCTTGTGACTTTTGAAGCCTTAATGCCATCAGCAGCAATAAAAAGTCAACATAATGCTATAAACAAACTTTATGAGGGTCGCTAGGCTGCGCATCACCACCACTAATCTAAAGGCAGACTTTTGTTGGCATTATGACATTTAGTAGTTTATTAGTCACTTGCTGGCAGCCGCCATTTTAATGACACATACACTTAATGAAACAATAATTAAATGATATGACATGTCTAAAGATACATACCCATAGTGACATCCTCTTCTTGTCCATTGTCCAAATCCCCATCAATTGAAAACTCTCCCTTGAGGAGGTCAATCACTTCCTGTAGGGCGGGGTGGACTTTAGGGGGGGCAGAGTTTAAAGGAGACTGCTTCTCACTTTCTGGATTTGTTTGTCCATTGTAAACTCTACGAATACTTTGCTCCAGTGGGCTGTCAGAAATAATGGAGCTTCCATTGAAATAGGATGACGGTGGGCCATAATCCAGGGGTCCAGGCCTCAAAGGCATATTAACACAGTTCATAAATTCACAATCTTTGCCTTTTGGAAGTGTGATTAGTCCCTGTAAAGGCTGTGGAACCATGGAGAGATTTATATCCAACCCGAGGAGAGACTCTGGAGCCCTAACCTGCACAGGTACTAAGGAAAGATGTCCTGTTATGGGATCCTGACAGAAGAGATAGTTGTTGAAAACACCACAACCACTGAGGTGATCGGATAGCTGCGGGGGAAGAGAGACTTCAAGACAGGAAATATCAGGGAGAGTAGAAGAAGAGTTGACCAGCATCTCTTGGCTGGAAGTTTTAGTTACACTGGCGTGATTAACAGGCGACTCCTGTGTATGTAGATTTAGTTCAGTCTGTGTACAAGTTGGGAACTGTGAAGTCAAATCAGGGCCTGTTTCCTCACTGTTGGTTGTGAACTCATCTGCAAACCTGAAAAATAAACAACCCTATTAAGCTTCTTTTTTTTCCAGGACTAGATTAAATGTAATTTCTAATTCTAACATCTAGTTTGATGACTAAAAAGGACTTTTCCAAAGGACTAAATAAAGAGATATCTGACAAAGTTGAGAGAAAACATTTTTACTAAAACAAAAATGTAATGACTTTTCATCAAATAAAAATGGGCTGAAACGTCTTAAAGAACACTGGTAACAGTCAACAGCCAAACAGCTGTCATAAAGACCTAATGCATGAAAAAGCAGCTAGCCTTACTCTATCCAACAAAACCCTATACCCGCCGAACAAATATGGATGTTCCTGGCAAAAGTTAGGGATTAGGGTTGGCCAAATACCCCAAACTTACAAAGGGCCTTCTGTTGATTTTTTCAAAAATGTTGTTGAAATTTGTCAAAGTGTTGGGGCCCTAACCATCGGCCAGAATCAATGAACTTACAAATCCGGCTTTGGTTCTGGGTCCCGTTGAAAATAAATGGGGTGCAGCCATATTCCCGTGGTCTGCTAATGACTTGCAGTCTCATTTTAACATTACATTATTTTACCCAGAAAATAGCTTTTTTAAACAGATTATTATCATTCTAAGAGTGGTATAGTTGTAATGGATATACTTCTCAGTAATATATACCCTCCAATGGAAGCCCCAAGGTGTTGTCTCTCCGCCTCTGAAAACCCTTCATCAGTCAGGATGATGGGGCTGAAGTGTGTGGCAGGCGAAGTGAAGGCTTCTGGGAGTTGGATTTCCTTGTCCACTGGATAGCTGTGGGGAACAGGGCCAGGCACAGGAGCCAGACGGCTCTCAGTGGCCATGGGAACAAATCCTACACACAGTCACAACAATGCCATACAATATCAGTGATATTGTCTCATGCAATGCACCTCAGTAAACTACACAAAGATATGGAAGTATTAGGAAGACTATAGAAGCCCATAAGGACTTTATTAAATAGAATATTTTAACTCTAATATATTTATTTTCTTTTTTTTTTCTTTTTTCGAGCATGTAAAACCAAAGAAAATACAAATGAAACAAAAGATGATACAGACATGATACAGTACTATACAAATGAATGCAATAACAAAACGAAATATTTAAATAATAATTGAATAATCTGTAGTATCATTGTCTGATAACAATAATTAAAAACATTTTTTTAGCTAATTACACGTCCGAAAAATATCCACAATAGTATTACACTTTCCCATATATGTAAATGTTATTCTATTTTAAATATAAATGCAATGTCAAGCTTGTATGACTTTTAAAGCAGTTGTACATTTTATTTTCAAGGTCACAGAGGACAAGGTTTAAATGTATTTTTTTATTTGGAGATTAGAATGTAACACTGTTACCATTTATGCAAGCAATATTTAAGTCAAAATCAAAATGGAACTGCAATTTTACGACCATTTCAAAATGAAAATGGCATTTCACATTTCATTTTCAAAGACTTATCTTTCTGTACGGTGGACAATATTTAAATGTTAAAATCAAATTTGAAAAAAACGAAAACATAAATAATAATTTAACATAAAAAGAGCCCAAGCCGTATTAAAGTAATAATGTAATTAAAGACAGAAACTGCTGTACAATAAAGTCAAATGAAAATGCAAACTGGAAAGTAACATTTTAATTTTACTCATAAAAACTAACATACGTGGAAAAATAAATTGCTATTGTGGAATATCATTTTTATTTTACATCATCATTTAATCAAGTCCCCTATGGGCTTCCGTACTGCTTCTCTGGCATGATCAAGGTTAGAAATTACATTTTTAAGAGAAAATAATTACGCAGGGCTAGGATTTCGCCTCTTGAAGCCTATTAATAACTAAATTATAACATCTTCCAAAAATGTAACACATTTAGTGTGAAATATACTATACATTTAAAAGGTAAACTATATTGCATGAGGGTCATCGATACTAAAGTAAATATGTCCTACCGCTGTTTTGTGAAGACTCTTCAAGTGAGCTTTGTTGAGTTTCAGATAAACTCAAATCCTCTGCAGCAATGGATTTTGAGGCTGTCTAAAAGAAAATTGAATTGGTTATTACAATATAGGGAGATATTATTGTTCAATCAGTAAGGGCGTTAAGAGTATACGGTGGCCGACAGATGCAAATGTGCTGCACCGCCCGAAAACACGCTGCAGCTTCAGAAACGACGCAATTATAAAACCTTGTTGTGCCAAAACTTGACAAGTGCAGTGTTTACTAAAAGTGCTGCATATACAAAACCCTGCAAACTCAAAATCCTGCAATTACAAAGCTCAAAACAAAACAGAAACCAGGTGACACACAGCTGGGACTGAAGCGCTTGTTGATGTTCGGGGATTGTAAAGTTGGCCAACTGTTACTGATCGTTAGTCTGTTTCATAGTTTTAAGGGGTTTTGCCGGTATATTGAAAATGACTAATACCTAGCCTACAGCAGATCTGCAATAATATTGGAAGGAAGGAATCATGTGATCACATTGTTAAAATAAGCAGATTTTTAGCAGACATTTTAGGTGACTTCAGTCCCAGCTGTGTGCGTCACTTTTTATTGTCCCTGTTTCCGCTGCGTTTAGATCTTCTTGCCGATCGTTTTGTATTTGCAGTGTTTCGTTTATGCAGCGCATTTTTGGTCAAGTTGTTGAATGTTTTCTAAATGCCGTACATGTGTTTTCAAGTTGGTGAAGATGTTTCTTTATTTGCATTTGTTTTGGCACATATGTGTATGCGCATTGTTTTTGTAGCTGGAGTGCGTTTTTCCTAATGGAAATGTTTTGGGCCGTTGTAGGGTGTTTGCACCTGTCGGCCACCGTAAGAGGATGATTACAAATAATCAAACTCAAATAGAAGTACTCTACAATAAATAAACAGAAATGTGTAAATGTATCTTTAGCGGAGAAAAGGGAATGTTTACCGGGGGAACTCTGCGGATGAGGTTGTTCCATACAGTCTCAGCATTTATCCCTTGATAGGATAAGTAGTCACGACAGCTCTGAAACAGATCCACAGGAAAACAATAGTGATAACAGTACAGAACACACTTCACACACACAGACACTAAAAATGTTAGAATAAATTGTGCCCTGAAATAACTGTTGGAATAATTAAACATCTCGTATTTGAATAATGAATGTCTTCTCTTACAAAATGAGTGGCAGCATAACAATAGGTACATATTGGACTTCTTAAGCGAGTCTCTATTTACAAAAGCACTTTCACAAATCGGATTCTCTTTATTTAAATTGCAAGTGATGTTCTGAAAAGTGTATGTGTATTTAAAAATGGCTCCTCTTAAAGTTGTGCCGATTGTTATGCAAAAATAAAATAAAGCTTTATTTATAGGGAACATTTTCTATAATGAGATGCAATTGCAAGTGCTTTCAAGAGCAAAACATAAAAGGGCAAGATCAAATACAAATAAAATGTGTTTTTGCAATAACTTTTTTTCTAAAGCAAATTTCAGTTAAGCTTGCTGTTTTGTCTGCATTATAACAGGGATCTTAAAACCAAAACTAGGGCTGTCCTAGGTAACACGTGCGATAACTCTGGAAATCGTACTGTGTAAAAAGAAAATGGACGCAGATTAATCTCCTTAGAAAGTTTGACGCAAAGTAGCTCCCGTACTTCCAGCCTGTTCTATCTCACACAGGCTCCGCCCTCTACTGGACTCTATGGGTACTACTCTTCATCAATGATACGAAAGAGTTCACACACTGAATTTGCATAAATGTAGCCGGCCAATCAGGGCGAGCCTACCTGAATGCGCACGCAGGCTGCACAGTATATAAGTCATCCTTTTCCCTTCAGCGAGCGGGACAACACCTGAGAAAAGCATTCGAAACAAGTAAAAAGTATCTTACCTCCAGGCAAGCAAATGGAGTCGCCACTGCAGGAAACCCGGGCCTGTTTCTCATGCCCGGCTTAATAGCGGGCGCCGATCCCCACCAGCTCTGTTGTGCCTGGGACCAGACCACGCCGAAGACGAGCTCGAGGTGGTGGACGTGGGAGACCAGGAGATGGCCGAGGCGACGCCACCAACGTTCGCTATCTCAGCAATTGCTGAGGAGGAAGAAGATGACTTCGCCTCATCGGTGTCTGACACTTCCGGGTCCGGAATCCACGGAAGTCCACCGCACATGTCTGCCAGCCAGGACTTCCCCCTGGTGATGGCCATGGCGGCGGAACGTGTCGGACTACCACTGCCGCCGAAGCCGGTAAGCCGTTTACGGTCCGGCCTGCCCGGCGCAACCGGCTTTCGTCTCGCCCCCGTTGCCAGATATCTGGCAGTGTATGGAGGCGTCCTGGCAAGAGCCACTGAAAGCGAGAGCTCCGGTGGCAGGAAAGGTAGGTATTCTGAGGGTGCGGGGCCGCACGGAGACCTCATATCCCGGCGTGCCCCCCATCGATGAGAGCCTGGCAACACATCTGACACCAACACCCCGTGTCTACGGAAGGGCTCTTTGGATCGATTTCCTCGGTCACGTGGATGAGGAGAAGTCGCAGCTTAGCCGTATGCTGCTTCTTGCTCATCCTCAAAGCGGAGAATGCAGCGCCATTGTGAAACACTGTCCACACTCGAGCCACCCCTGCTAGTAAATGTAACACCCTTTTCACCCCGGTTACACGTTTCATTTGCCCTGTACGATGGGCGCTGTAAGTGATGAAAGTGGGGGATGTTGGCTTATCAGGCGCCCGCAGCTCACAGCCAAAGTGCGAGTGAGCGAGGGAGAGAGAGAGAGAGAGAGAGAGAGAGAGAGAGAGGGTGCACCGGTACCGGCGCTGTTAAGGGTTTAGATCAGTGGTTCTCAAATGGGGGTACATGGACCCCTAGGGGTACGTTGGAGTACTGCAGGGGGTACGTGAGATGTATTTTATGTTAATTAAAAAAAATAGATAAAAATACAAAACATTTTTATTTATTTTTTAGGAAAAGTAACGAAGTTTGAGTAGTGTGGGTTTTATATTAACAGAGTTACACATATTTCAAAACGAGAAGTGTAATAACTGCAGTTTTCCTCCCTGTCAGAATGACAAAGATCCTCCGTGAAGCACAAGCCCATGTTTCTCACTACATTGTAAGTACAACTTATTAAAAAGATCAGTTAAATGCAACTAATGTCGTCTTAGTGTTATTGCATGATGTTACAATTGGTTTGCAGCTTAGCCGTATGCTGCTTCTTGCTCATTCTCAAAGCGGAGAATGCAGCGCCATTGTGAAACACTGTCCACACTCGAGCCACCCCTGCTGTAACCCCAGTAAATGAGGCAGCGGTTGGGCGCGCTCACATGAGTGTAATAAACTGCAGGAAGTGCTGCCTAAGTACTGTGCGCGTTCAGGGACACTATAGCCGGCGTGTTGCTGTCAGAAAACACACCTCACATGGTATAGTGGCTCCGATTAAATGCATTTCACTGTTAATGTGAAACACAGCGTTAATACGAAGGCGTGCGGCCCCGCGAGAGTGGCCGCGGTGCGTTCAAGGACCTCCGTGGAGGCTCGGCCCTTCCCATGTCAGTTCCCCATTGGCCAATCTTCCTTCCATGGAATGTTTGGCGGCGGAGAGGGCCACCAGAGAGTACCACAGTGTTACCAGAGAGTTTCCGTTGCCGCTCGCTGAAGAGGGTGTCGGATGACAGTCAGGAGGTGTAGCTGCCTTATATACTGTGCGGCCTGCGCGCGCATTCAGGTAGGCTCGCCCTGATTGGCCGGCTACGTTTATGCAAATTAAATGTGGCGGTCGCCTAGGGCGCCAGATCTGGGGGGGTGCTGCGCTGGTAGCTCTGGGAGGGAAAAAAAACATTTTTGACCGTTGGGGCTCATCCTAATTTTCGGCCTTGATGTAACAACATTCATAAGTAAGTAAATGTAACACCCTTTTCACCCCGGTTACACGTTTCATTTGCCCTGTACGATGGGCGCTGTAAGTGATGAAAGTGGGGGATGTTGGCTTATCAGGCGCCCGCAGCTCACAGCCAAAGTGCGAGTGAGCGAGGGAGAGAGAGAGAGAGAGAGAGAGAGAGAGAGAGGGTGCACCGGTACCGGCGCTGTTAAGGGTTTAGATCAGTGGTTCTCAAATGGGGGTACACGGACCCCTAGGGGTACGTTGGAGTACTGCAGGGGGTACGTGAGATTCATTTTATGTTAATTAAAAAAAAATAGATAAAAATACCAATTTTAGGAAAAGTAACGAAGTTTGATCAGTGTGGGTTTTATATTAACAGAGTTACACATATTTCAAAACGAGAAGTGTAATAACTGCAGTTTGCCTCCCTGTCAGAATGACAAAGATCCTCCGTGAAGCACAAGCCCATGTTTCTCACTACATTGTAAGTACAACTTATTAAAAAGATCAGTTAAATGCAACTAATGTCGTCTTAGTGTTATTGCATGATGTTAACATTGGTTTGCCATGAATTTAGTGATGGATTGTAAACATTTGAAATGTAGCATTTAAGTGTTTCTCAGTTACAATGTTGCTGTTTTAATAAATCAGACACTGATGGTGCAGTGCTGTACCTCTTTAAATAGGCATTTCTTCCCTAACAAATTGTGTTTGCGCTGATCAGGGGGTATTTGGCTGCATTTGTTTTTCCAAATGGGTACATTATTGAAAAACTCATGAATATTAAACACAACAACCTCCGAACTGTGTGTGTGTGTGTGTGTGTGTGTGTGTGTGTGTGTGTGTGTGTGTGTGTGTGTGTGTGTGTGTGTGTGTGTGTGTGTGTGTGTGTGTGTGTGTGTGTGTGTGTGTGTGTGTGTTGTATCGTTGGAGCTATGTGCTACTCAAGGCATATGCTCGAACGGGAGCTGCCTGGACGTTGCAATCATGTTGCGCGCACTATCCGTGCTGAGTGTGCTGACTTTTCGTACAATGTCCCACTGTCTGGCTGCCTGCATAAAGTCAAGTGCTCTGCGCAGTTGTCGGTGAAATGTCGCTCCTCTATTTTCACTGAAACAGCTCCTTATATCCGTTAGCGCAGCTAGCTAGCACCAGATGCTAACAACAACAATACACGTAAGGTCTCTCTCTCTCACTCGCGCCACACATATACACCCTCCCGGTCCTCCCGATGGCCAGTCGGTGCCTGCCGGTGAGCATGGAAGTGTGGTCGGCAGGAGCGGGGCTGTATCAGCTTGTAGATGGTATTTTAAACTCGATGCGCTCTGAAACTACGGGGCGACCGAGGACAAAAAATACACATGCGTTAATCGCGTTAAAATAATTAGTGGCGTTAATTTTGCGTTAACGTGTTATTAACACGTTAACTTGACAGCCCTAAAATAAATGTTAACTAGGTAAAATAAGATATGAATGAACAACAAAAATACAATAAGTTACATTTATTTGTTATTGGCTATGGTAGGTTATTGTTTATGTTCACATACTTATTTGATTATTAAAATGTAAACAGATCTTTTTCATATAGCTGTTTTAGAGTTGTACCCCCTAGATCTAGTTTCTAGTAATTGTGTGCTCAAAGTGCACCAGATTGAAGCATTTTACTTTAAATGTTCAAAAAAATCGTCGTGGGGGAGCATACCCCCGAACCCCCCTAGAAGATGTGATGTCCACCCCCCAAATCAAACATGTACATCATACAATACTGAATACATTTGAAGCCTTTTTGATGTATATAACCTATGTCAATAAGTTTCGAGTTTTTGTAGTGTATTTGTCTTTTGTAGAGATGTTTCCTTTATTCTTTACATATTCTATTGTGTATTCCTTAGATACTCTATTGATCTTTATCTTTTCTACTGTACGATTCTCTGGCTGGGGGGGGGCATCTAAAATCTCGCCTCGGGCATCAAATTGGCTAGAACCGGCCCTGGACTTCTACACAATCTTACTCTTACCGCAATCAATGGAGTCGCCCTCTGCTGTATATTAAATGTAATGCAACTTTAGGGCAGTCTTCACTTTTTCGAACAGGAAGTTGCAGCCTGGGAACAACGAATGATTTTGAAAGAAAATGTTAAATTAAAAATAATACCCTCTTAGCCATGGCGATGGAAGGTCTCTCAATGGGCGTCCTCTTTGCCATCTCCAGCAGCAGTCTCTTCAGTTTGCGAGGCATCGCCAGCTTTTGATGAGGTGATAAACTGAACTTGGCTGCAGCCCACAGAATAGCAGCAACCCCATACACACAAACCTGAGCCAAGACAGAAGAGAATAGAAGAGGGAAAACGTATAACCAAAGCAAATGATCAGAGAAAGTTAGTTTGTCACATAAACGCCTTTGTGACCTCGAGACTCGATTATTGCAACGCTCTATACGTGGGTATGGACCAGGCCTCAATTAAACGCCTGCAGCTAGTGCAGAACGCAGCGGCACGTCTCTTCACTGGCCACAAAAAGCGTGACCACATCACCCCAATTCTGGCCTCACTACACTGGCTTCCAATTCTGTTCCGAATTGATTTTAAAATCCTTTTATTTGTTTTTAAAGCACTAAATGGGCTGGCTCCTGCCTATATAGCTGAACTTCTCCAGCGCTACACCCCAGCCAGAGCGTTAAGGTCTGCTGACCAACTGCTACTGGTAGTGCCTAAAACCAGGCTAAAAACCAGAGGGCACCGAGCCTTCGCGGCAGCTGGCCCTAGGCTCTGGAACACTCTGCCCCTCCATGTGAGGTCGGCCCAGACCCTAGGGGTTTTTAAATCTAAACTAAAAACTCACTTCTTCACCCTGGCCTTCTAATCCGAGCAGAGCACGACTCATGATACTTCCCTGTGTTTGATTTTTATATTTGATGTTGTAATTTATTGTCTTCTGTTTACATCGGTAGGAATGTGTTATTTATTATCTGCATGTGCAGCACTTTGGCTCGACCGAAAATCGTTTTTAAATGTGCTATAGAAATAAAATTTGATTTGATTTGATTTGATAAACCAATTTGGTAAGACAAACCTTCTCGGTCACAATCCCATGTTCTTGATACTCTGGAGCAAGATAGAACTCGTCTCTGGATCCTGCAAAGAACACTAATTTAAGTTTACAACAGTCTCCAAAAACAGGATTTACTTTTGTAACATTTCAAAAGACAGCTCCGAAGACTTCACCGTAGGACACAAAAGTAAACCAACCTATGTTTTTAGGTTTCAAGAAAAGTACTTCTCCCTCACAGCCCACGTGCATCGTGTCCAGGCATAGATAGGCTAATGGTAAAGAGAGAAATCAGAACAGACATTGCCAACACAATTTAAGCCTTGCACATGATGAACGGAAGAAAATTGAACACTGGTACAGAAATAAATACAGTAGATACTAGTGTTGTCAACGATTAAAACATTTTTAACGTGTTCACAATATTAAACACAAAACCAATACACGTGTTATGTTGTAATAAAAAATGCATGACTAGAGAAATCAGATGTATTTTTACTTTAACACAACATGATTTCTGATTCATTGTCATAAAGTCTGACAATTTTGACACTCCTATGCAACTTCAAGAAATTGCACAAGGTTCCCGTTGGAATTAGGAAGTAATTTTCTATTTATCGCTAGAGGTTTCCAGATGAATTGCGAGCGTTAATGAGCTGGGGTTGAGAGCCCTTTAGAGACATATGCAAAAGGATGTGTGCTCTTACTTTATATGTTGAGTTCTAAATTGTTCTAAAAGGAGTAGTTAATATTGGGTACTGATTTCATGCATGAAATGATTTAATCACCTGGAAAATCGATGTAGGTCTGCAGAGAGGAGAGGCAGGAGAAACAGAGAGCCCAGAGCTCGTTAACGGTCAACCGCCGTCCACACCGAGTCAGAAGCTCCCTCAGAGAGATCCACTGGGGAGAGAATAAAGAACAGTTTCAAAGGAGATTAAGGGACAGGCTTTGGAGCTGATCCCTAAATGTGCCTTATTGTAACTGTAACTCCAAATTCATTTTTCTGAGTTCTCTTCAACAGTGATTTGTCTTATGGAAGTTTTTCTAAAAAGGCAATTGAGAAAAATAACCTGGTGATACATTTTCTAAGTCTGATTCTGATCTTAATTGATTTCTCTACTGTGTTTATGACTTAAGAACAGATTAAATTGAGGTGTTTGCCAATGTTATCGGAGATTCCCTCAAAAGGTTGCTTTTTTTCACCTGTGGAAACAATAAGAAAGGTGTTGCCATGGTGTAATGCATGTTTTGGCCACAAGGGGCTGAAGTGAAACACCAACCCATGTTATAAATAGTTTTCTTCCAGGTGACTATGACAAAGGGAATAGTTACATTTTGTAAGTTAAAACAATTGGTTGAATGTCCGTCTTGACCTTGAAAAATCTAATCAAATCAAAGTTTATTTATAAAGCACATTTAAAAGCGATTTTTGGTCGGGCCAAAGTGCTGTACATGTAATAAATACTACAATCACATAAAAACACATTTAAAAAGTATATGCATCCATTGTAATAGAGCTTTAAAACCAGGAAAAGACACAATTGTATGATATTAAGTTATCCAAAATCTAAGTGATAATAAGCCTTATTTATCTTCATCAGTTTAGTGTTGATATATTTCCCAGCCCTGAGGGACTTAATAGGCTCACCTACCCCTTATTCAACAGTGTGGCCATCTGTTAGCACATAACCAAACTTTTGTATTTAGGTCACATGATGACAAAGGACTCCAAACATGGACTAACAGCTTTTTATTTAGCTAAACTCAAGCTACTACTTATGGAATTTTAACGAAGACACCTTTATAAAAAACACTTTTCACATTTCTGAACTGAGTTTGACCACCACCTTAAAGACTGCTTAGTGTTTTTATGTTTCTCTTTCACGGCTACACTTATTTACAGATAGACGTTTTGCAGAGCTGTGCAGTGATTACATATTTGTGTAGGGTTCTAGGACTAATTTCTGCACCACTGTATTAAATCACAAGACAAGAGTGCAGAAAAAATCTGCCCACGTGGTCTGAGAATCAGCAGGCACTGTCTCACCTCATCCTGGGACTCTTCATTGAGGCACAGCATGCTTTTGGTCATGTAGTTGTTGGGAATGTAGAGGGTGTGGTTGAACGAGCTCTGGTCCTCAGAAGAGTCCTGCTCCATGTCCAGCTCCTGACAGGAAGTACAGGAAGACGCTGAATCCTGGGTGCAGTCCTTAGAATCACAATCACTGCCCCCCTGGACCTTTGTTTCCCCGCTGCAGAATGTCTCTGCAGTGTCCTCGCTCCCTCTGGACTCCTCCCTATAATCCTCGGTGTAGCTGCGGGGGTACGACTCACAGGAAATGCCCCGGTCCAGTCTCGGCACTCTGTTGCTCCACATGGATTCGCAGCTCGAGTGTTCATCCGTTCCGATCTCTGTGAGGTCGGATACGGGTACGCTGATATCTCCGTGAGTTGGAGGGGAGAGACAGGGGGGGTTGTTGGAGTCTGGGACCGAGCAGGAGCGGTTCAGAGCCCCCCTCCCCCTGTTCAGCCTCTGATGGACCCTCCACCGCACCGGGGAGCTGTTCTGGGACCTGCAGTCCAACTCATCTGCCAAGGTGGCGCAGTCTCCATCACCTTCCATGTCCTCCGCCCACAGAGAGGAGTCCCAGCCCCGGCACACCTGCACATTGACAGGTAGAGTGTTTCAACTGAGGGCAAAAACAATCCTGATTACTAGGAATGCAAATGTATAAGATTTAATTATTGATTCCATTATTGGTTCCTCTTGTCAATATGAATCTTTATTGATTAATTTATAAATTCCTGATGAATTGTTGGTTATAGAAGTATAACCTATTGAGGCTCAAGACAAACTATTATTTCACCAATGTTCTGAAATGATTTATTAGGGATTGTTTAGGGATTGGAATTAATATGATTTTATCAATTGATTCCTTCTATGGATCTGATTCTTTGTGGATTCATTTATTGATTCAAATGATTGGGTAGAAAAAGAGAACATATTAAAAGATCTTGACTTTATTTATTTCTACCACGTCCTCAATACATTAACCAATTAAGGATTTTACTACCACTTACATTGTTAGTCACGATCTGTTTGTGTTTTTCTGTGTTTTATTTTGAAAGGTGTTCACCCCCAGTCTTTTGTCTCTGTCTGCTTCCTGTCTCTGTGTTTGCCCTCCTGTCTGATTACTGATGCTCTTCACCTGGTGTGTTTTTCCTGTCCTGGCCAGCTGGGTCTTGTCCCCTGATTAGTTTTGAATGTATTTAAGTTCTGGTTCTATTTCATCCTTACTGACCACCAGAGGCGGTGCTTTAGCACTAGATATCTTCCGTCTCGCGCATGCGTAGGTCGAATATTTATATCAACAAAGTCACGTGTGACCTCGTATGACCCCGGAAGGCATAAGTTCCGGTGTTGTCAACGAGTTCATGCAAGGAGTGGCAACAACATATAAAGTGCATCCATCCTCCAGTTAACTGAGTGCTCTCGCTCAAAGTTAACTTGCTACAGCGCTAGTGAAGAGAGTGTTTCCGCTCCCCTCTCCCTGCACACAGTTGGTTCCTGTTCCATCCTCCAGTTAACCGAGTGCTCTCGCTCAAAGTTAAAGGTGACCTATCATGCAAAATGCACTTTTGTACATCTTTTATACATGAATATGTGTCCCCGGTGTTCCAGGGAACTCACCAAGTGTCAGAAAACACAACCCTCTCTATTTTCCTCTATACCCAAATCCCTTAAAAAGGGGCTGCAACGGATCTGATACAGACTGATCCAGATTTGAACACTTCTATGACGTCACAGAAGTGGCGCTACGGCTATTGGGCCAACTCCACCAATCAGGAGGAGACAGCCACGGACATTGCCGTTCGAAAGCGCTGGAGACGCTGTAGTACATATGCCAGGCCTGTAGATGGTGGTGTTCTCACAGAATCAGTCCATCAGCATGATCGGTTTGGTATTTTGAAAAATAAAAAGTATAAATATGCCTTATATAGGTATGGTCCTACACTATATTATTCAAATATAGCATGTTAGGTCCACTTTAACTTGCTACAGCGCTAGTGAAGAGAGTGTTTCCGCTCCCCTCTCCCTGCTCACAGTTGGTTCCTGTTCCATCCTCCAGTTAACTGAGTGCTGTCGCTCAAAGTTAACTTGCTACAGCGCTAGTGAAGAGTGTTTCCGCTCCCCTCTCCCTGCTCACAGTTGGTTCCTCTTCTATCCTCCAGTTAACTGAGTGCTGTCGCTCAAAGTTAACTTGCTACAGCGCTAGTGAAGAGTGTTTCCGCTCCCCTCTCACTGCACACAGTTGGTTTAATGCCCGTTCCATCCTTCAGTTAGCAGAGTGCTCTCGCTTAGGCTAACTTGCTACGGCGCTAGTGGAGAGAGTATTCTCGCTCCCCTCTCACGGCATAAAACCATTAACTGACTTCATTGTTCTAACCCCAGTTAGCAGAGTGCTCACGCTCAAGCTAACTACTATTGTGCTCACTCCCCTCCACTGCATATTTGTTTCCTGGCCCAGTTATTTACAGTCAGCTGAGTGCTCTAGCTATCGCTAGGTCTAACGGCTCTAACACCTGTATGGCTCCTCTTTAACCAGAGGATGGCCATGACCTTTTCCTCTCTTGTCTTGGCCTCGAGCATCTGAGGGAGGGCCTTTCGGAGGACCCGTGCATGAATTGCACCATCATGCCTCGTGCGGTAGGAGCTGCTAGACTAGCCGAGGTTGAACTACTGACCGACTCTGCACAGCCCAACCTACCCATCCTAGGCGTTGGGCCGCAGAGGCTGCGGGTGCACCGCCCAAGAAGAGGACTAAGCCTGATAGGCTGTCCTCCAGGGTGGACCTACTCACTACTGAGCTAGCCCAGATGAAGTCACTCCTCTTGGCTCTCCATTCTGGTGCCCGTGCAGAGCACGCCGCTGCCCACCCGTGGCTGAGCTGGTTCTAGATGACAATGTGTTCTCGATGGCAGCTTAAGCCACTCAATTTGATGAGTATGACGGGGAGAGCCCATCTCATGCTTCGGGGCCTGGCTCCTGTACCTCAGCTTATGGTCCCTCGGAGGAGGCAGATGACGGCTCCATGGGTACCGTCATTCGCATGGCACTGGCTCACCAGCAGCTGGATGCGCAGCAGCCCGAAACAGCGCCTGCCAGTGTGTTCTTTAGGCGCACTCTTTGCAACCTTTACTGTTCCTCCCTCTTGTGAGTATCTGAGGGAGTTACATGCATGCTGGAGGACACTAAGGCTCTTTACAGTCTTACGTCCGATGGCCGAGCCCTAGGCAGCCATGCAGGATGCGGCAAGAGTTGGCCTTGACCACACGCCGGCTGTTGAGCCTACCATTGCTTCCCTCATAGTTTCCCCTGACGAAGCTCTGAGGTCGGAGGCCAGGTGCCCTCGACTCCAATGTCGGGTCACGCATGGGCCGTATAGGCAATTTCCTCTCTCACCTCATGCTCGCCCTCTCAGCTTCCCCGCAGCAGGATGCTCTTAGCGCTTCCTCTACCAGCCTTAGTGACACCTCATTACAGGCGTTTGCTCTGATGTCTAGAGAGCTTGGGCTCCTGATGTCCACTCTCGTCCAGACTCGTCGCCAGGTTTGGCTGACACAGTCACCCGCCATGGGCCTCAGCGCCCCACGAGGGGGCTGGCCGGCTACGGTCCTGATAACTCGCCCCCAAGGCAGTCTCGGTATCCGGTGCCTAACCGTCGCCCCCCCAGAGCCAGAGGCCGGGGGGCAAGGTACTGAGGGTCTGGGGCCGGCTGTTGGTTATCTCTCCCAGCAGCAGCTCAACTACCGGGTAGCTCAAGCTTCAGACCCCTGGGTGGTTTACACCTAACCCAAGGGTACAAGCTTCAGTTCCGACGCTGGCCCCCAGTCTTCAGCCGGGTCAAGATGACCACCATAAGTGACCTGGCAAAATAAATCGCCCTAAACCAGGAGCTGTCAGTCCTCCTTGCTAAGGGTGCAATCGGCTTCTACTCGACCTAATTCCTGGTAAGGAAGAAAGGCGGTGGACTTCGCCCAATCCTCGATCTGAGGGGACTCAACAAGTTCCTACAAATTTTACCTTTCCATGTGCTGAGCACAGCGGACGTTCTTCGTACCGTGGCCAGGGGGGAATGGTTCACGTCCGTCGACTTGAAGGACGCTTATTTTCATGTGCCTATTGTGCCTCATCACAGGCAGTTTCTTCGCTTTGCCTTCAGAGGCCGTCATTTCCAGTTCAGGGTGTTCCATTCGGACTCTCCCTCTCCTTAGACGACTGGTTAATCTGTGCACCATCCCGGTTACAGACGATCCAGGACACGGCTCTCCTTCTCTCTCATGTCGCCCGGCTAGGCCTCATGGTGAACATGGAGTAGAGTTGTCTGAACCCCTCTCAGAGCCTAACCTTCATTGGGGTGGCTCTGGACACAGTCACTCAACCAGCGAAAGCAGTGTTCTAGCCCCCACTCCTGGTAGACGTGATGCTTTATTCTAGCAGCAGCCGACTGGATAGGCTGTCCTGCTGAAACTTCTTTTTTTTCCCAGCTAGGTGAAGGCAGTGCTCTCGTTCCCGCTCCCTCTGCTGGTAACATGGGTGTAGTTACATCCCTTTTGTGTTCGGCGAGAAGGAGCGTTGCTCTACTCTTTCCGTTCAGCAGGTAGCTGGTGAAGGCTGTGTTCTCGCACCCCGCTCCCGCCTACGCTGCATCTGGCATTCGTTATTAACTCAACCAGTGAGCGCGGTGTTCTCGCCCCCGCTCCTGGTAGACGCGCTGCTTCATTCTAGCAGCAGCTGCCTGGCTAAACTGCCCTGTTACATTTCCTTATCTAATCCACCTAGGTGAATGCAGTGCTCGCTCCCGCTCTCTCTGCTGGTAACGTGGTGTAGGACATTTACATCCCTCTCTGTGTTCGGCGTGTAGGAGCATTGCTCTACTCTTTACGTTCAGCAGGTAGCTAGTGGAGGCTATGTTCTTGCACCCGCTCCCGGTTACGCTGCATCTGGAATTCGTTATCAACTCAACCAGTGAAGGCATTGTTCTCGCCCCCGCTCCTGGTAGGCGTGTTGCTTGATTCTAGCAGGAGCCGCCTGGCTGTCCTGTTAAACTTCCTTGTTTAACCCAGCTAGGTGCAGGCCTGTCCATCTGCTGCAGAGACTCTGCTGTGGGACGCCTTGGCGTCTCCCCAACAGGAAGGACCTCTTGTCTCAGTTGGAGGGTCGGATGTGGCACCCCGACCCCTGCCGCCTCCAGCTGTGGGTCTGGCCACTGGAGGGCCCGACCCACTGCTGAGCGACTGCATAGAGTCTGTCAGGAAGACTATTCTCAAATGCCAGGGCACCATCTACTCGTAGGCAGTACGAAAACAGGTGGAAACTTTAGTTTTTTTTACTGGTGCCTAGGGCGAAATGAGGACCCAGTATATTGCTCGGTGCCTACGACCCTTGAGTTCCTGCAGTCCCTCCTGGACGACGGCCGGTGTCCCGCTACCGTCAGGGTGTATGTGGCTGCTATATCAGCTCAACACACAAGGGCTGACAACAGCACAGTGGGAGCCATAGGTTGTGTAGAGTTATATTTGTATTTATTCATGTTAGCAAACTATGGATAAGCTTAAAATGAGAATAATTTGGGTAAAACTGTGAGCTGCATTTGGGGC